GTGGTGCAGTTAAACACTTTGCTCTTAAAAAAAGTAGACGTATAAATTTACACGTCTACTTTTTTTAAGAGCAAAGTCTTTTATTATAATATAATAGTTCTAGTTTTTATTAAACATTTATTTGCGTTTTACATTCAATTCTCCAATTATTTAATTTTGTCAATCTGACGATCGACAGCTGTACCTAATCTGCGGTGATAGGGATTGTACAGTCGAGCTCACATCAAGCTATACACTCGCAGTTCAAGTTTCGATCTTATGCGTCTGTTAATAAGAATGGTGCAAAGTCCAAAGTGTATATGGAAAGGTTGACGCGTTCTTGAGTGTACCTGTTATAAAAATGTATCAATGTATAATAAAGATGATTGTTAAACTTAGATAAACTTTTTTATTTAAATGTGTGTTATGTAATGTATAGTATACATTAAATTGAAATATCTAAATAAGAGGGCGGCAAAATTGTCTTCCGCCCCGGGCGGCCGACACCCACGCTACGCCGCTGATTCAATCTGTTAAAAAACATATTTTTTTTAATAACCATGAAGTTAATAAATGTAAAAATAAACACTAAGTAAGTCTAACTACCTTCATCATCAGGATCAAGGCAAGTGTCACATAAATAATCAAAAGCAACGGGAGCTCCAATGCAGTCCCCACAATATGTTCTTTTGCAACTCATACATTTTATTTTGCGTGCGTAGACCTCTATGTGATGGATCTAGTGATAGACCTCTATCACTTGGACACAATTAAATGGTTACTAATACCGAGGCCTAGACAAAGGCGACAAAATACTAATCGTTTTCGAGCGGCGGGGCACTGTATGCGCCGCCAGTGGTTATATCGTCATTGCTTCTTAGTAACCACGGGCAATATTTTGAAATATCTTCCATTTTGTTAGAGAAATTACAGTTAAAACTTTAAACGCAAGTATCTCAAAAGTAACTTTTTGTGGCATGAGTCCTTTCTGGTTAACTACGAACTACTAACAACAACAACAATTATTTTTGTGTAGGTAAACGCTAAACAGACCATTTAAACATTTGCAAACGAGACGACATCAGCCAATAAACTGCCCATTATTTAGGGCTACTTCTCATAATTACGGGAAAGGACAAGCATTGATCGCCTTATTTGCTTAAAGCGAATGGCAATTTCAATTTAATCTTAAGTCCAGAGCTTACGATAGCTTTTTCCCATATAACCTCAGAAAGTTATATTGCAATTTGCAGATGTCGCGACACCACACAATAGATACTTCAAATATTAAGATACACGCTAATATAAAACAAAATACAAGTACAAATATATATAATGACGACAATTGGTAAGCTAATCAGTGGGATTGAATGGAACTTTCCTTTTTGCCCTTATCCTAAACCAAAAAGTCCACACAAAAAAGATGGATAACAAAACGAAACGCCGATGGCATGAACAAATAAATATAACAATAATATCATAGAATTCCAACCTTAGACCACATTACTCGTAAAACAAAAAAAAACAATATATATAGAATTTAAGAATGAATCGCAACTTGCTTATAAAGAATCACGCGTGAACGTCTTCACCGATCCTGATAATTTTGGTAAAGTATGGAGAAGGTTTTAATAAAAGAAAATTTCATTGCTGACACCGAGGTACAATAGAATGCCTATGAGAAGCAGGAGCGAGCCGCTAGAAAAAATAAATAAATAATTTTAAATGAACTAGCATTTACACTTGTAGCCTGTTTCATCACCTTCATATAAATACTTGATAACTGCTGTAGCACATAGTAAAACTAATCGTGGTGTGTTTGTTTATTGTGTCCATTTGTTTTAATATATGAATGACTGGATAGCTAAATCATGTCAAACAGGCCTTTAACATGATAAATAAAATAAAAAAACCGCTTTCATTCTCCATGTCATGTATTTCCAATAATTAACTAACAAAACCGTAAGCCCGTTAGTTTATCTGGTTGTAAACCAGTTGGTGTGGTTCTTTCCTCAAAAGACCACCGCGGAATGAACTTGCACGGTTTTCATACATTATATTAATTTTCACATTGTCTGGACTTGAAAAGCGACGGACCTCTGAGTTTGTTTTGGCATTTCTTCTCAGAGTAGTCATATAGGAAATGCCTGCATAATCATGCTTCATCTATTTTTTTTACATACTTATATATTTGTACATATGTAATCGTGCTGTTTTATGGCCTGTTTACAAAAATAAATTCATTGTTTCATAAGTTACATTACTGTTTTCCATATTTAATTAATTATATTAAATTTCCAAATCAACACATTGGCTCATGATTAAAATTACAATCTTTACTTACATTTTTTTATCTGCTAAAATACTTTAGCATGGCAGTGTTTTACTTAAATCTAGGCTAGAATAATAAAATAAAAAGAATCTTAATTTTGTTCAAAGATTATTAAAAATATAAATAAAATAAATATTTACATTTACAACCTTGTTTGTGATGGAATAAAGTTGTAAATGGAATATAGTTGACAACTTGGCAATAGATTTATGCACACATTAGCAATATTGGTAGGGTCCACCCTGGAGACTAAATGAACCGTTAAACTGACGACCAAAATTAAATAAACAAGTGATCTTAAAACAAAATCCTTTGATTTTTGACATAAACTCAATACAAACATAATGTTCGGTTTCGGTTATTCATTTCGGTCCGGGAAAATTAGGTTAATTAATTGCAAACCCTACTGGCCGGATTTACAGTCCCTAATTCATTGTCACCAGGTAAATATTATCAGAAATTTAAAAGCCAATCCAACTAATATTGTCGTGATATAATGATTTGACTCTCAACACACAAACGAGGACTTCAATAGAAAGTTTTTCAATTCTAATTCAAATTTATTCCATGCATTTTTTCTTTTTAGAAACCAAAATTTAAAATCACATCGGAATGACTAAAAAAGAACATTTATTTAAATGGCTTGAATTCATTGTAAAAATTACAAAAAAAAAAAAACTATTTACACAGAAATATTATAACTCTTTTGTAAACTGAACTTGTATATTTATACAAATTTATTACCAAGTAACATTCGCATATAAACTATGGTAGAAATTGTGTTTATAAAAACATAATATTTTTAAATAAAGAATTTGATAAAGTTTTGATTTGATTGCAGTCATCACATAATAAGATACAAATACAAGAAATACTTTAATTATTATTATTATTATTATTTGCGTCCCATATATATTTTGGAATAAATTTGCAATTGTTTATGCTTCGTCCTTGTAATCCATGAGTAATATAAGTAATGAATGTGACTGGTATATAAAACTACATAATAGTTAAAAATTATTCATATTCACACATTAATCAAAACAAGAACGTCACAAAAATCACTACTTACAATTATTATGAGAAGCTTGACCCATAATTATGAATTATACATATTACAGAATACATGATAATATTCATAGATAAAAAATTGAGTAGATGTAGATCATTCCATATGCATGCATATGCACATACTATGCGTATGGTGAAGTATAAAAACATTAAAAATAATTAATGTTTTTATACTGCGAATTATAAAATTACTAATCATAATTTACACTTTGAACTCTGTAATCAAAGAGATACGATAAAATTATTTGTAGATAGGCATATAGTTTAAAATAAAAAATGAGATGGTGCACGTGGATATCGTAAATTTTTCTGTTTAGTAAATTCTATTACTTATCCAGAGCATTTACGTGGGACGATTTTCCATAACATTCTTTCAAACCAAAATCATGGAATCTACCGAACCGATTTCAATGAAACGTTAATAGGATTATATGTATAACAACATCCATTAAATTGTGGAGAAATTTAGTATCAGCATTGCAAGCAACATATCGAAGTCTAATATACAGGAGTTAGTTATATGTGATTTTAAGTTTATATGGAAACATAAAATTCTCTCTCGCCCTCCCCTCTCTCTCTCTCCGAATACAAAGTTTTTGCAGTTTCATTAAAATTGATACAGTAGTTTCTATGATCATGGAATTGAAAATTTCAGTGTTGATTACACCAACCACATACATTTCACAGCGGACACCTAAGCTAACCATCACTAAAACTAAATCATTATAATTTGCTCATACTTATCAAAACTAGGAGACAATAACACATGTCATTTGTGATTTTATTCTCTATAAAATAAATTCAACGACGAGACCAAAATAATACGAATTCATTTCGCTTAAATATATAATTATATAAAAACAGTATCCTTTGATACATAATTAATAATTACAACGCTAGTACGCAAAGTATTCATAATTGTAATTTCAGTCGTTATTTAATAAAACCAATCACAGTAATGGCTTAATATGGAATAAAGAAACGAAAGCCAAAATATCTATGGATGGATTTACGCCCAACTTAGGTTCATAATATGCAAAAACACAAAGTTACATTTGCAATTCGTAAGATTAATTATATTTAATAGCTTAGTCACGTAACTGTTTGGCATGATAACCCTCCTAGTTTCATTTTAAAAGCTCGTATTCATGTGTGTAGCAGTGCAATGTAATGCAATGCAATTGTGCTCATAAGTATGAGCCCTAGCATAACTTGAAATTAGTCGATATCCCGCCGAAAAGTTAAGTGAATAAGTCCATAAGCATTATTAATGAATGTAATGTCTCACGATAGCTAAAATATAAAGAAAATGGATTTCTGCAAATTGATGATATAAAAAAACTCGTTTTAAAACCAGGTGCTATTTTTTTTTAAATTATCTATAGGTCCTCTTTACATTTCATTTAGATAAGAGTCTTCGATAATTATTTAGTTGATTAATTTTTGGACGTTATATATTTTTTTTTGTTACTCAATAGGCCTTATGTTTCAGCTCCATACAAATATTGTACGGAGTTTTGTTTAATAACCGTAGAACCATAATAGAACCGAATCGGTGCACTGGACAGACCACCGGCATTTATACCCATTTTTTTATATTTTCACTTAAAGAGTCAATACTTGTAAAATATCATTTACATCACAAAATATATCCTTGCCCATAACATCTACTATTGAAATTAAGTGACATGCAGGTTTACTTATGAATTTCGTGTTATTTTAATTCAAGGGTTAAATTACGTATATTATTCAGCATACCAATTATTTCTCAAATAATTGTTATGTCTTTGTGATATTTAAATATGAAAGTTAAATTTAGCAACCGGAGGTTTCCCAAATTTATTCGTTTAGACTTAAAAAAAAGATTTAAAATTAGGCTTCCATCTTTAATGGTCACTCACGAACTTGAAACTGGTTAAAAGATAAGTGAGTCCGGAATGGAATAATGTATTAAGTTATCCTACAATTCTTCCTTTTTCCTACAAAACTCCTTGTGCCATCTTTTAGTTTAGAACCTTTTCGAAACATTCTAACCCCTAAGCCATTCGGCCACAAACACGATGTTGCCCGATTATTAAATAAAATTACGCACAAACCTACCAATAAATCACAAATAAAAATAATATTTCTACCAATTCATAATTTTGACTTAATTTTCCTGTGATCTAGTATTAATAATAAGGAAACATTATATACAAAATCTAATCGAAAATCATTTTACAATCAGTACATCTGACAACACCGGCAGTGACCGTACAAAACGATCTCAAAAAGCGTATTGTCTACATAAGCCTACGTATAACTACCGTCAGTCTTAGTTCAGTGATCGGCGATCTCACATGTGATCTCGATAAACGCCTCTTTTTGCTCACGAAAAAATTTGGAAAGCCGTTGTTTCTGTACATCATTATAACTTTTATTTGTCAATCTTACTTCGTCTAATAGTTTTTGCACAGCCTTGTTATTCGGGGACACTTTATCCGCTAGCCTGAGGTCCATGAGAGCGTCGTCATAGTTTTTAAGAGCGTAATTCGCTTGACCGCGTCGGTATAACGCTTTTTCATTTCTTGGGTCTATTTCAAGTACCTGAAACAAAATGATTATTAGCTAATGTTACGTGTTATGTACTAAATTTAATAAGACTATATGACAAAGAAAATAAGGTTATATTTTGTGAGGAATGATATAAAAATCAAATTAAATAAAATTGATTCGGTTTTTTTATACTCTAACCACATATGTAAAGTAACAAAAAATTAGAACCACAGAATGAGAGCAACAATTTTATTCTTCAGAAAACATTTATTTGACTATTTAAAAATCAGCCCTTAAACAGCAAAATGCCACTTAAATCTGATCTTATTTATAATTTATTTTTCCTGACGTTAATTGTTAGTAAAACTGTCAAAGTGTCGTTCTTAGACAGCTTCACAATTTTTACACTAGAGGCGTCGTAGATCTTTGCATCGCCAATAATAAAATCCATAAATTATTATGCTACATCTTAGTGTCATTCCGTGATGTAAGTGTAGGAGAGCCAAGCTTTGGTACAAATGGGTCACAAAAAACTGTGAAACAACCAGTGTTGTGTTTTGCCGAGTGAGTGTGGGTACCGGAAAAGAAACCATTATCCCAGAAGGGCGGACACGCACTCGTAACTCCTTCCTCCGTCTGCTTGTTAGCCGACCTATTTCATAAAAAAATGGTTGTGCTAAAAAATATGTTTATGACAAGATACTTACCGAAGTACTGTACTGAACTGTTGACCTATAATCCTCTAACTTCATGTAACAAGCCGCCATATTGAGGTAACATTGCGACACGTACATTGTTCGTATTTCTAGAACTGTGGGCAAAGAAAGAATAATCATTAATTTAAAAGAAATACTATATCAAGTATATTCATAGTTAAGTTAGTGTGTAATAAATCCATACGCCTGTTGTTCCTCGACGCAAAGGCAAAACTTCTATAGGTAGTAGGTAAGTCGATGCCACATTTGACAATAAAAACTTACATTTTGTGAAATAATGATACCACATTATAACAGTGTAGTGATGAACACAAAAATCGATAAACAATCGGTGTGTGGGCCATGAATGTGCCAATTAAAGACTAAATTTTATATTTTTATTTAAATAAATACTATATTACTATAAAATTCATAATAATTATCTATTAATTAGTAATCGCTCCTATATTTTATATGAAAAAAAAAACGTTTTTATATTAAAAACAAAACTTATAATAAAAGAGTTGAATTGTTTATCGTGTCATTCGGCTTCATTCTCCCAGTCTGACTGCACGAATATGTTATTTCATTGCGAATGGATATTTATTTATTTTGTTGGGTTTTAAGTTTAAAGTGTTGTTACGTTGTGTTTGTTGTTACGTTGTTAATCATTTTAGGGTATGGTCGTGAAGAGTGGTTGTTTTTTGAATGTGTAGTGATCTGGGGCCCCTCGTGCGGGTCGTGTTTCGACGGGACGTCTAACCGTTAAATATCTCGTTTATTACTGCTTCAATTGCTGCTATCGGAGGCGTTACTAGTTACTACTATCGGGGACGAGACGATAGCCTAGTAGCGCCATCTGCGTTGGCATATTCATCGGGGACTGGTATCTTACGGGACAGATGTCAGTCTCAGTTTGTACGTTGTAAATAATGTACGAATACTCATTATAATATGTAATATACAAATACATTTGTTATTTGAATTTGAATTGTAAGATTGTATATTTTTGAAAATAAAGCCCATAATACAGGACAAGACCCCAATGTATACCCTAGCTGTTACAATAAAGTGTACCACCCTCAATACATCTATGTAAATGTACAAATACATATGTTATTTTTGCTTTAGTCTGAGATTAAGTAGTAATTCTTAACAGATTAGTCTTATAAAATAAAACAGATTAATCTGTTCTATTTGTCACATTTTTTATTAACTTCACACACAATTAAAAGAAAAGTCTCACATCGTTAATGAATCGTCAAAACTAAATTATCGGTTCAGAAATTCGACTGCACGGTTGGCGCGGTGGCTGGGCAACTGGCTGCCGTGCAACGTGTCGCGGGATTGCCGCACGGAACAACTCTATGTGTGATCCATAGATTGTAGATCCGGGTCTGGGTGTGATGTGCATGTGAAATTCGGAAATAATCGATTTCCATATCGAATCATTTTGCAACGTCACTATTTAGTTGCAATACTGTAATTGTCAAAAATATGGAATGGATTTAAAATTCCGATTATAGGTACGCTCATACTCGCCAAATAATAGGGGTTGCAGGTTGAGTGAGCGCGATAATATACCAGCGCGAATAGGACAATGAGCGGGTTTTTAGTACTTTTTAGTCAATAAGAGTAGAGAAATTTGATGATTTTGCCCCCTCCAACAAAGTATACCAGCCGCAACAATGTGCTAGTTTCTAACTGGTCGCAACTAAAAGCTACTTTGACATATGAAACTATATTAATATTGTATTAGACCGATACTACAGTACTAATGGGACTTTTATATTTGTTAATATTTTATTCTGTTCTAAATTTTAATCATTTAAGAAATCTAATATTTTTGTGTTTAAAAAAAATAAAGTAACAGATATTCTGCGCTTTGCCGTGAGATTGAAGTTACTGGGCGCTCTGTCCTTCATCTCCGGCAAAGCACTCGATTCCTTTGGTGTACCCACAACACCAAAAGAATATCGTGTTGTCTTCATCATAGGCGGCGCCAATACGATAGTTTCCAACTAGTCAAATTCAATTATTTTATCCAAATGTCAAAAACTAAACTTTTCTATAAAATTTGCATAAAAAACTGAGTTATGAGTAGTAGTATGAGTCATAGTAATTTTGCGTCAAATAGTTTACTTATAAAGATAAGAATCGTTTTATTTGCAAATTATCTCAAAAAAATTTGCTAAAAAAATATCTAAAATTCAGTATATCGATCGATCGATGAATAAAAGTATAGTTATTTTTAAATATTTATTGTATTGAAACGTCGAATTAATTTATTTTTGACCTAGGAAACTACCCAATTGCCTATGATCAGGCATTCCGCATCCGCTATGATCAAGCATTTGCCGGCCTATCAAATAAACAAACCTACTAGAAAAAATAGTCTAAATACAGACGGTAAGTTAGTATTTAACATGTCTAGACAAAATATAGATAACGAGCCTCATTGTGTTGATCTAGGGCATACAGGTTCGCGGAAAATGGTTACCTAAATTGTACTCTATTACCGTTTTATAAGGTCATATTTGCGAAGCTCCGAATTATTGTAAGCAGACGTATCCTATCTCGACTCAGTCGCCCATCGACATACAATAAGTACTAATTGACCTAATAACTGATAACAACTCTTGGACTCGACTTACTTACTCATCATTTAACCGGTAACTTTCCCTACATATATATGTATAAATTATCACAAATTTTCAATTATTCTTATTTCATACACTGACGACCCGCCCCCGCTCCGCACAGGTTCGCTCTATTTCGCTAACAAAGAAAGTCACTTTTCCCAATTTGGTAGTTTTTGCTAGGTCAAAAAGTGTAATCAGTTTTTGATTTTCTAAGAACTTTCAGTTTGACTCACATAATCGAATTATTTTACAATAATTTATTAAATACTATAATAAATCCTAAGTAAATAATAGATTGGGTAATTTTGTAGGTCAAAAATAAATTAATTCGACGTTTCAATACAATAAAATATTGAAAAATAACTATACCTACTTATATTCACCGATCGATCGATACACAAAATTTTAGATATTTATTAACTAAATTATTAAGAAGTAAGTAAGCTATTTGACGCAAAAATACAATGACGTCATGACTCAGTTTTTCATGCAAATTTCATAGAAAAGTATAGTTTTTGACATTTGGATAAAAGTATTGAATTTGACAAGTAGCAAACTACCGTATTTACCCCTCTACTTTATTTTGATAAGAGCGCTTGACATTGTTAAATACAACAAAATAGGAATTAGCAGAACTGCTCCAGGCGTTGTTGAGTTACGCGCTTACCAACAGATTTTGCGATTCATTTTTATAATGTATTACTAGCCCGCGGCTCCGCATCCGAATGCTCGTTGCCGACTTATGTCATAAAAAACAATTTTTCAACCGATTGGTTCCGCAGCATGGCTCTCTAACACTTAAATGGAGCTACTTCCAGTTACGTCCAAGAAATAACAGTTTAGACTTATTTAAAACAAAAACATTGCCCTACACAAGGATTTTCTCCTCCGGTTTCCTTTACAAACATTTAAGTTCACATACACATGACACCCAGACCCGAAACAACAGTTTGTGAATCTCACAAACTGTTGTGCCGTGCCGGAATCGGACCAGCGACACATTGCACGGCAGCCAGTTGCCCAGCCACCGCACCAACCATGCAGTCTGCTCTAGACTAGGTATTCTATAATATAAAAATGAATCGCAAAATGGACCAATTTTGCCAAATCCTTTTGTTTTGTATTTATTATTGTCAGGAGAAGGTTCTGCTGAAGGAAAATATTAGAAAAGTAGAGGAAAAAATTGGGGAAAAGGGACCCTTTCATGACAGTGGGACTCGTGCGAAGCGGGGGTGGGCAGCTAGTCAATAACAAACATAAAAAAGTACTCACTTTGTTCTTTTGTATCCATATCTTTCACTTCATCTATCCTATTAAACACGTGTTCCAAATACCTTAGGCACTTTCGGTATTTCCTAACAGCCGCCTTATAACGTCCTTCGCCAAAGTAATTATTACCAGCACTCTTTACATCCCTTATAGACACCATTAATTGTTCCACCTGTAATATAAAGTATATATCAATTTAAATCTTATTAAATTCTTAATGTAGGTGTGTGTACAAACTCATAATAAGACCTATCTATCTATCTATCCATCTATTCGGTTCTAGCTGTTATGTTCATTACACATTCACACATCTAGAACTAACACATAAACATAAACATCAACAACACCAACGATAATTTGTAGATCTGTACATGTAACTGTTCCGTGCGGGAATCTTACCCCCGAGTCCCAGTCGACTCGCACCTTACTGGCACTTACGCGATCTATATCGGAGATAATTTTTATTTAGAACTGTCCAGTTGTTTTGGATAATTAAGCAACAACAACTGGATATTTCCCTCGATCAAAGGTAAATTCCTCTAACATTTCAGTACAATGAAATATTGAGACACCTGCGGCCCGGACTAAGCGTTTTGCCTCGTCATTTATACCGCGTACATCGAGGGATTGGAACAGTTTGCCCGCTGCAGTCTTTCCGTCCAAATATAATTTAGGTGTCTTCAAGGCTAGAGTGAATAGGCTCTTAATAAACTAGTGCGCCTTACCATCAACGATTGCATCACTGCTTACCATCAGGTGGTATATTAGAAAATAATCTTACTTCATTGATGGATGATATACTTAATTTTAGATTTTTATTGGTTACATTTTAAGACAAAAGTATGCTGTTAGACCCCAAAATATGATGACGTTACATTTCTGTATTCATAGCATAAGCAAAAGTATTGAATTTGACTAACCCCCGTTTTCCGAAAGGTCGATCAATGTTAAAATCAATTTAATCTCTTGTCAAGTCATCTGATTGGTTGACTGAATTATCAACAACCAATCAGATGACTTGACAAGAGATTTAACAGGAGATTAGTTAATTTTAGCGTTGATAAGTCTTTCAGAAACCGGGTGAAATTGTCAAATACCGTATTTGTAGATCACACAAGAGTTGCTCAGTTAGGGGATCGAACCCTAGGGTTGCCGGTTGCCAAGAATGAGGATTTGTTTAACAACTTACCGTAACATTTTCATCCCTGTAATCTTCAGGATACTCGGGTAGCTTGTCCCCGGTACCATCACAACAGCTAACATCCCATTCACTAGATATAATCTCGCCACATTCTTCAATCACACAATCCTGCAATTAAAAAATTAAACATTTCTTTTCTTAATAGACAATATCACGAATTACGTAAAATAGAAAAAAATAATAAACGACCATTTATGTAAAAGCAAACAAAGAAAATAAGTTACTATAATAATATGACACACTTCATACTGTCTAAATAAAAACACACTAATGTTAATATATAAAAATGGATCGCAAAATGTGTTGTAAGCGCATAACTCAACAACGCCTGGACCAATTTTGCTAATTCTTTTTTTGTTGCGTTCGTTATTATCAGGAGAAGGTTCTTATCTAAGAAAATATTAGAAAAGTAGAGGGGAAGATTAGGAAAAGTGACCCTTTAATAGCGAGATAGTTGGACCCGTGCGAAGCGGGGGCGGGCCGCTAGTAATATATAAAATATCAATCATATTGCCAGTGAAAACTGTCAATGATACTTTATTACAAGACAATAGAGTTGTAAATCTATTGAACGTTGACTAACAGCCGAAATTAACAAACCTTGTTAATCCAAAATCTCTGAATCATTTGACAGACCCTTTATACAAATGTTAATTAAAATATTTAAATTATTAAAAAAAACTGCTTTTATCAGGCGATTTAGTAAGACTATATACTAAACACTTTAAATATATTTTTTATGATATCAGAGCTATACCATACAGCCTAGCATTTATGGTCATTTAAACTAAAAATGTAGGTAATTGTAGGTATGCAAAACTTTACCTCAATCGTTTGAAGATATCTACTTTAAAATCAAGTTGCAAGATTACACTACACAAACTTACTATAACTAGCTACTCTTACGCAGTTCACCCACTACTCGGATCCATTTGATTGTAGCGTGATGTTTTATAGCTTATAGCAGTCAGAAACATTGTACTTAGTTATCTATCAGTAAAATAATTTTAGCAATCGACCAGCGTTTCTAATACCACCACCATATTAATTATTAGTATAGATATAAGGCTAGCAATAATAACCCGCAGATTTTGAATTAAAATCGGTTTATTTTCCACTGTGAAAAATGCCAAAAAATGATTTATTCATTCGACCATCACTGGCACTGGCATACATTATTTCAATGTAGACAAAAAAAGAAAAACAAAATAAACTTTTGAAAAAGCATCGATTACCAACATACCACCGTGGGGCGGCAAAGGTCTCCGTCGCCGTACCGTTGGATCTCTCTTACAATGCCGAGGCCAGCCATTACTTCGCCAAACACTACGTTGGTGCCATCCAAATGTGCGCATGGCACCGTTGTGATGCAGAACTGAGAACCGTTGGTGTTGGGACGGCCGCTATTCGCCATGCTAAGTACCCCCGCATCATGCTAAAAACAAGTAAAATACTTAACATTTTTTCGATAGGCAAATGACCAGAGGGATAACCCAAAGGTAAGCAATCGGCATCGTCCATAGACACCCGCGACACTATAGGAATTGCGAGTGCGTTGCCGGACTTTTAGGGATTAGGGTTTCGGCCATTCAGAGATAGGGGAAGGACGGCGGTTGGGCAAAAATAAGGCAACTGAAAAATCGAATATCTATTCTTATATAACAGTAACGCTTTTGCTAAAACTCTGAAACGACTGGCCGACTTAGTTACTTTTGGTTTTAAAGTATTTATGGTTTTGGATAAAAATACAAATTAACATAAAACCTACTTAAGAGTAAGTACCAACATATGTTTATGGCAAAAATGCTATATAGGTACTGCATGAAACTCTTAACAAATATATGTAGCATATTGGCTATATGTACTTGTTTTATTAGATATATTCTTGATATACATAATTTGATGTCAAAAGTCAAAAATCATTTATTTCACCCTTACAGGCACTTTTGAATGTCAAACAAAATTTTGAAGTCATAGTGTCAGTCTGTCGGTCAGTCCTCTTAGTGAAGCTATTTACTCGTTTCAAAGTGTAGATTCCGATGGTAAACAAGTAAGAAACTCCATGGTTACTCTAAATCAGTTTCACCTTGAAATAAACCTACCTTTAATTTAAAATTTTCATCTTCAAATGTACGCCCATATATACTTTCACCACCAGTACCATCTCCATTAGTTATATCACCTCCTTGGATCATGAACTGAGTTACAGCTAAAAATAAAACAGAAATTAGAACTTACGTACTGTATATCAACTCTTCATCTTTATTGAGACATACCGAAGGGAAGTTCAAAGCAGGCATTGCAATGCTTATTATAATATGCTAAACATCTTTGCTGTTAAAAATCAAAGATTGGTTAAATAATAATAATGTTTAAATACAATTTCTAATCAAAGTACCTTTATGAAACTTTGAGCCTTTGAAATGAAGAGGTTTGCCGTTACTTCCGACTCCCTTCTCGCCTGTACAGAGAGCGCGAAAGTTTTCCGCAGTTTTTGGTACCACATCATTTCTTAGTTTTATAACAATACGTCCGGCTGAAACAAACGATAAACATATTCAAGGATGAGTTCACATCATTAGCTTATAAGTGTTTACCGCTGAGCAAAGGCCGCCGAAGGTTTGAGCATTAATTACAACTCTTGCACATGGCGAACTGGCGATTTCAAACTTAAGTCCAGGTTTCCTTATTATTTAGACATCACAGAAGGTCTGATGAGTTGTGTACTTATAAAAAATATAAGACTTAACTATGTATGAATGAAATAACGACAAAAACAAAGTTGATATGTGGCATGATTTATAAGTAAATGTATAATGTGATAAATTTCCTGAGTGTGCTCTACAGTGGCAATTACTACGTCATGTCGCCTGCAATCTGACCTTGTGTCACTGAATAGCACTTAGGTGAATAAATTATGTCCTGCATTCACAGAATGCGTCAATGCGTATCCGTTCGATATATCATTCCCTTGACCTATTTTTGATCCATACAACTTGAATAAATTCTTGTAGCCTTCTAGCCATGAGTCCAATCATTAATAAAAGGAATTTTCTTATAACATGCTATGTAATGAAAACAGTTAATGAATCAACTAACTCTACTAAGCAAAATACACACTTATTAATATTTTGGAAATAAAAGTTTATGTCTTCTGATAAACTTGAGGCATTGATATTATTTTTATCTTTGCTTTAAAAAATCAAAGTACTGATAAAAAAAAGGATGTTTTGTTTAACTAAACTATTGCGAATTAAAGGAATTTATTAAGACAATATATCACATCCCAGTTCTAAAAGTTTGTACGACTAGTTGCCGCGTCAGAATCACGGTCCCTTCAAATGGTTTGAAATTAGTCGAACTAGGTACATCTTACGTGAGTAAGCCTAATTGCCAAACTAAAAGGACTTTTTTTATGTAATAGATCGGCAAACAAGCAGACGGATTACCTGATGGTAAGTAATCAGCGCCGCCCATGGACGGGTGTCCATGGTGTGCAACGGAGGAGTTACGAGTGCGTTGCCGACCTTTTAGGGATTAGGGATTTGGAGATTTAGGGATTGAGGAGGGATTAGGGGTGGGGAAGGATTGGGCCTCCTTCACACGGCGAAACACAACGCTGTGGTTGTTTCACGCCGGTTTTCTTTGAGGCTTTGAGGAGGTATCACTCCGGTCGAGCCGACCCGACATACTTGTTTCACTTGTTTCAAAGTTTCTAGCTATCATGGTTATTAAGGCAAGCCCTCGGAAAAGATCTTGCTAGAAAAAGTAGGCATAAAGAGGCATTTTTGCAATTTATTAAATAGCATATAACAGTAGTTAATCCTAATTAAGTAATTAATTATGAGGAGCTATTTGAATCTTTTAAATCAAGCCTTAATTAACCAATAGTGATATATTTTTTTTAGTTTTTGAATGTGTTGCAAAATAATATTGCCCTTTCGAGTCTTGCATGATGCTGAAAAGTAAAAGACCCATTGTGACTTGCAACAATTAGAGCTATTCTCGATTTATTAATGCAAGTCATGTTGTTTTTATTTTCAACTCAAATAGTTACTACAAAAAAACAGGCTTCGCCTGAACCAGAGTTGAAAACATAGTCTTGTGCCTGGTATTTATACTTACAGCCTCATGATCCAAAAAGTAGCTGTCAATGATATTATATGCCTTCGAAAACACAGCAATGATATGAAGAAGCAGTCCTTATGATTCTGTGGAAATTCCTTCGAAATTTGAATAAAATATTGAGTTTACCTCCATATTTCTGACACCAGAGGGCGCCAACGATTTTACCGCCATTTTCGTCGTCATTTGTCATTGCATTCTTGTGATTCGAAAGAAATACACAAATTTTTTATTTTCCATAAATTTCATATAAACTTATTTAAGTTTTAGTGAGTGTTCGTATAGTATTGCACTTTAGAACACTGTGTTCTTTAGTAGAACGAAACGTAAGTTGTATTTGGTGAAAACACAGCAGTGTACGTTTTTTATCATGGAACCGGTAAGTACGGAGCGAACCGATATTGTTGCTTCGGATGGAGAACAATCATCGACAAGCTCTAGGGCATCAGACAATAGCTCCTCCTCATCCTCGGAGTTTGAGGAGGGCATGGCGTCACCGTTGCCCAATAAACGTTCTCGCTCGTCGGCGCGAAACCGTAAGTACAAGCCAAAATCTGTACCCACTGATCCTCGTATTGATACATTAATATCACAAGTGTCTTATATTTCAAATTATTTAAGCCAGTATCCGGTTTATTACAATAATATTAACCAGAATAATATTGGAAATCCAATACCAAGTACTAGTACTAGCGGGATGTCACAGAATATTAGTGAAAACATTAGTAAGGATACTTCAAGGCAATTTATTACACTTCCCACACAACCCGAGCCATTGTCTCTTGATTGGGGATCTTTGATCACTGACATTGACGATAAAAAGATTATTCCACCAAGTGATATGGATAGATTTTTAGAATTGAACAAATTACAACAGTTTGATTCTCAAGCTTGGAAGGGTATTAGGTACAAGCGAGTCCTGCAGAGCTGTTTAGCAACCCCTGGGTTTACAGGACTTCGTGTAAATGATGAGTTGTGTCATTTTAATAGTAATAAAGACTATCTTGCTTCAACAGAACAACTTTTAGCGGGTTTGTCGAACAAAGTTTTAGAGCAAAGGCAATTATTGCATTCAGGTTTACAGTCTATTGTCGACTGGGCTTGTGCTAACCCACAGAATTTAAATCCAAACACTTTATTTGAGAAATTTTCTGTTACATTTGGACCTGGTTCTTCATGCCATAAGAACTCTGAGACCACTATGCAGATTATATGTGGAAAGCGTTCTGAGTGTATAGAAGTTAGGCGTGATCGCATACTAAAGGAAATTGTAAATGAAAATCTTAAAACTACTTTAAGAAATGTTCCACCTAGGTAGTTCTGAGTATTTGTTCAGTAGAGAGGCCTTACAGCCTATAATTCAGTCCCTTGGAGGATCTCAAGTTTGGTTGAATACTCCAACCTATTTAAAAGATAAAAAAGTATCAGTGCGTAGAGATCATACATATCATCTAAAAAAGGACAATTTTAAAAATAAATCTAAAAAGATAGATAGGAAATTTAAAAATTCAATTAAAAAGACTCAGCCCTTTCGTCAGCAACGTCCCTTTGAGACATCAAATTCAAAGTCCAACAAAGACAATTGACTCACAACAGAATTTCAGTGGTGGTTGCCTAAAGTTTTTCATAGGGAATTGGGCTCAGCTAGGGGCAAATCAGTTTATTCTGAAATCAATAGCAAATTATCATTTACCTTTCCGAAAGAAACCTCCTCTGAAATTCCCAACTCAAAAGTTCTTAGAATGCCTATCCACCAAAGTATCTCCAGAAATGACACAGATGGTCAAAGACCTGAAGTGCAAAGGAATTTTAGAAAAACCTTTAGCTTCAGATCCGGGTTTCTTTTCAAAGATGTTTTTAATAAAGAAACCGGATGGGGGTTTGCGCCCAATATTCGATCTCAAAGCTTTGAACACTTTTGTAGCGACAAAACATTTTTACCTAATATCACAGGTAGATATAATAAATTTTCTCCAAACAAACGACTGGTTAGTAAAGATCGATCTTCATCAGGCCTATTTCCATCTGAGTGTCGCGGAGACTCACAGACGGTTTTTACGGGTGGTTTACAATGGAGAAATACTCCAGCTGACAGCACTACCATTCGGCCTGTCTTCAGCACCCCGCACGTTTGCAGCAGTAACAAACTGGGTGGCCGAAGTACTTCGTCAACGGGGCATACGCCTTTTGGTGTACCTGGACGATTTTCTCCTGGCATCTCAGGACAAATCCAAGCTTATGGCTCAGGTTGCGGAAACTCTCACCATCTTGGAATCTCTAGGTTGGCATATAAATTATCAGAAGTCCGTAACCACACCTACGCACAGGCTGGAATACTTGGGACTGGTCTGGGATACACACAACCAGACAATAGCATTGCCGACCAAGAAAGTAATACGTATAAAAAACTTTCTAACAAATATATTGAGTCGAAACAGTTGCTCGTTGAGAGAACTTCAGACTTTACTAGGCATGCTAAATTTTGCCAACCATGCAATCCCTCAAGGCCGGCTTCATTGTCGCAGGGCACAAGTCTTACTAAAAAAGTTCAGTCAAAGAACACAAAAAAGACCACTTTGCTTCAAAGTACGGGAGGATTTGCGATGGTGGTTGGATGCGATAGAGGGCAGTCCAACCCCATTACACAAAAAAGAAATAACGCATTTCTTAACCACAGACGCAGCGGATGCGGGCTGGGGAGCAAGCTTGAACAGCCAATACCTTTCGGGGAGATGGTCGATAAATCAAAGAAACTGGCACTCCAACATGAAAGAGATGTACGCAGTTTTCGCAGTCATCAGTTCCCAAGGTGCTCTGCTAACCAACGCCCACATTCTAGTACAGTCGGACAACAGGACTCTTGTAGCCTATATCCGAAATCAGGGCGGGACGCGGTCGCAGAAATTACTGGGACTAACAACCAGGTGGATGTATGATGGAAGTGTGTTGTCGTTTCAACATCACAATGACAGCATTTTACCTACCAGGAAACCTGAACGGCATCGCAGATTGCCTGTCAAGGGGAAGGTCAGTACCCGAATGGCATCTCTTACCACCGGCCACGGAGGCAATATTCGAAAGGTGGGGCATACCAGAAGTCGATCTCTTCGCAACAAGAGAAAGTGCTGTAGTACCCAGGTATGTAACGCTAAACTCAAAAGATGGCTCAGCGCTTTTCTGCGACGCTTTCAGTCGAAAATGGATGTTCCATCTGGCGTGGGTATTCCCACCTCCAAGCATGATACCCAGGGTCCTAGCACACTTGAACAGTGCAGTAGGAACATACTTGTTGGTAGCACCCCGTTGGACTCAGTGCTTCTGGTTTCCGGATCTACAGGCACGCGCTCTAGCGCCTGCACTGCCGATAGGGAACCTGAAAGAAGTGTTAGTGGACCAGACAACAGGGCTAAGCCCCCCTCAAGCGGAGAAGCTAATGCTTCAGGCTTGGAAAATTGGGGGTGGGAGGAACAAGTAGCAGACTGGAGTGTAGAAGAGCAACAGTTGTTGCAGAACAGCTGGCGTCCTTCCACCCTAACAACATATAGTGCTCCAATAAAAAGATGGTTGCAGTGGTGTAAGACACACAATGTTGACCATAAAAATCCAGAGGGTAAGGATGTGGCTCGCTTCTTAGCCAGTCTTTTCCTCCATAATAACTTTGCATACAGTACAATTCTTTTACACAAGTCGGCCATTGCCACTTTCTGCGCAGCGACAGTGGAAAACCTCTCAAAGAATTTTTTTATTCAACAGGTTTTAAAAGCTGTCTCTCTTTCCAGACCACTTCCACCTAAACTTCCTGTATGGGATGTTAGCATTTTATTTAGATGGTTGCAATCTTCCACTTGTTCAAATTCTTTATTTGAACAAAGCAGAAGAACTGCTCTGATTCTGTTATTAGCATCAGGCAGAAGATTACATGATCTTACCCTCTTGGAACTTACTGAGCAAGGGTTTGTAGAAGCTGAAGACACTATAACATTCTGGCCTAAATTTGGGTCAAAGACTGACTCAGTTTCACACAGACAATCAGGCTGGCTTCTCATAAAACATCAAGACTTAAGGATTTGTCCAGTAAGTCACGTAAAGCAGCTAGTTAAGATCTCAGAGGCTAGAAGAAGTCCGGACCGCCAGGTTAGATCTCTTTTCGTCTCCATCACTGGAGTACTGAGACCTGCATCCAAAACTATGATTGCAGGATGGGTTAGGTCAGCTTTTAAACTAGCAAAGATTGATGCTTCCCCAGGTAGCATCAGATCAGCAGTAGCTTCTAGAAGATGGTTGGACAATAGACCAGTTCAGGAAATACTAGACAGAGGAAATTGGAAATGTTTAGAAACATTTTCTAAACATTATTGCAAAGAGATAAGTAATCCAGTTAATTCAGTAGCAAGTGATTTACTTTATGATAATTTCAAAACTGTTTGAGTTATATTGCATATAAAGTTTTATTTATATTAAATTTTAATTTTATGATTGTTGTAAAAGTAAAATACCTAATTTTACTTTTAATCAATTATTGATAATAAGAAGTTTCTATTATTGTTATTTTTATTAATTTTCATAAATTGTTGTTAAATACTAATTAAATTAGTTTAATTTTATGTTAACCTTTAGAAAATTTCATGGATGAAAAACATTTTGTTTTCCTTGATTTTTAATAAACATTGTTATTTTCAAGATATTTATCATTTCATAATATAATTTGTCAATGACATTCACATTGCATTCTTGTGTGTGTGGATATTTCTGATCACCAGCAGATATCAAACAGGTCTTCATATCATTGCTGTGTTTTCGAAGGCATATAATATAACTGTTTTGCATTAAGACAAAACAGGTATTATATGGTGAAGAAAACACAGCAATGAGACAAGGTTCTTGCTGATGATGAAGACTACAATGACAAATGACGACGAAAATGGCGGTAAAATCGTTGGCGCCCTCTGGTGTCAGAAATATGGAGGTAAACTCAATATTTTATTCAAATTTCGAAGGAATTTCCACAGAATCATAAGGACTGCTTCTTCATATCATTGCTGTGTTTTCTTCACCATATAATACCTGTTTTGTCTTAATGCAAAACAGTTATATTATAAGTAAAATGGTCTAGATAGATTACATGAACAACATTCGATTTTCAAAAACGGCTCACTGATGCACACATGAACAATTCATATGATAAGATGTCAAAGTGGGATGGCATGATTCAATAATCGCGAGTGAACAAGAGACAAATATGAAAATGACTACATTTTAATGTATCATTGGTAGCTGTTAAATATAAAAGTTCTCCGATATGCAACTGTATTTGTATATAAAAAAAATATTGATTTAACAACTAGGCAGTACCATATTTCCTTACTAACATAAATACCAACATTCCTTAATAATGTAAGTAATTGACCTTTCAATCCTGGTAATATGAGACACAATATTAGGACAACAGATGTGTGAATGCTGCCGGCAATTGCTTGGGGTTTGATGAATTAAAAGTAATAATTTATTTATGGTATAAGTAGTATTCATACAAGGAGGATAGTTTCCACTTAAAGAAAAATGTATGTGTACCTTGTGTGGAGTAACTGAAGATATAGGTTACAGGATAGGCACAGCATGAATGAACTTGCATTGGGTTAACTAGTTTACAAAGTTGTTTGTTTTCACCTAATAGATTGTAATAACTGCATAGTATAATTTGTAGTAAGTGCAATCGCTGAAATTTGATTCCAAAATGAAACAGCTCTTTTTGTGTTCAACAAATTGTTACCATAATCACACCACAAAAAATCTTGATTCTTTCCTTTCAGATGGTCACCAGCAAAAACATATTAAAAAAGACAAATCATAAATGCTTTGCATTTTTTAATGTTAACATACATGTTCTTTGCATTTAAATCTTAAATTATAATGATTACTTACAAGTTAAGTATAAAAATGTAAAATGTGAACTCAGAGTGCCATAGACAGTTAAAGTTATTATACAAACTCACTCGTTCATCAGCCAGTATTTATTTTGTTGCCAGTTACTGTTAGCATTATAATAGTTATTGTTGATCATAATATTTAATTCATTTACTGTTACTGGCCACTTGACAAACAAACATTTATCACACTGATACTGACTAACATAGATAATCTGCATTCACAAGGTCATTGTATTTATCTATATGCAATTATTTACATACAATTTAAATTATATAAGCACTTACTATATTTTATTAAATACTGACCTATACTTGTAATGTTACTGAAAGTAATTTTCCATAAAAAAAATAAAGCAATTGCATTTGAATAGAACGCTAAACATTATGTGTACAAACAGATTTTGTTTACTCATCGTAAAAATAGACCCGACTATCATTTACGTTGAGGTAGTCCAAGTCAGTGTGAAGCATGCCAAGTTGTCTATCTACAGCTTTACTCTAGATATCTTGTCATAACAACGTATGAATATGAAACATTTCTTCGATAATACCGTAAGTACTTACCTTGTTCGCCATCAATAGAAATGTCCAGGAAAACGAGCGGATTCCTTTGTGTCAGGGAAACAGGATTCATATTATTGATTAACATCGAGCACAAATTTATTGATCAAAAATAACACTAAAAAATCATTCTTAGTAAACATATACTATTTTAAATGAAAATGAAAAAATATCCCCACCCTCAAACGTAAAGCGAAAGAATAAATTTAATAATCACTTGTCATAAAAAACTGTACACACACAGATGTTATTTCAAAATGAAACCTCATAATGATCCCATGGCAAAATAACACAATTATGTTAAATGGAATAGAACCCAATTAACAATGAAATGGACCTATTTTAAATAAAATTAATGTCCGTAGCCGCACTTAACACCTAGGCAACACAAACAGAAAAATTGGATAAAGATACAACTATACAAGCGTCAGTCAGCCATCTGTCATGTCAGTCAAACAAACGAGTTGTCGAATGGGATTGGCTAATGGAACAGAGCATAGAGCTAACATAATTAGTTCAAGTTTTTTTATTTTTTCTATTGTCTATAGAAAATGGTTAATTTAGGCCGGCCGCTACCAGATTCCTCACAACGACATCATTAAAGTTGAATCATTTTTAAAAACATTGGTTTATGGGTCGATCTCCAGTGGTGTTATTTTTCGTGTTGGGCTGGATAATCGCATTTTAAAATCGAAAAAAGTTTCCAAAATATTTTTTTATTTATAGTTCAGTGTCTAATCTACATGACACAAGGCTTATATTATAAATAAGTTTATTTTAAATATATAAAAAAAATTCTTACACATTAAAATCCTGATCGCTCTGGGTTGACCCAACTCCCGATTGAATGAAAAAAATGTTCTTTAAATTTTTAATGAGAAGGTTCATATCAAACAACTTATTTAGATTACATAACAAATAGTTTTTCTTCATAGTAATAAAATATTTTTAGTTATATTAACAATACTTTTGCCACAATTTGAATTTAAAATCGTGACCGGGCATTTTATCTCATCGCTCTGCGCTGAGGTAAAACATCGCGCACATCCCGAGATACGCGTTTTAGACACTATGTTCCCCTCCCGCGGGGCAACGCCAGTAGTGATCTAACCGCCGAGCAGGATACATGTGTGCCACGTTCCCGCGCTCCAACATTACGAAGGTAAGTTTATGATTGCTCTGTATTTGGTTCTCGAATTTTATGATTGCTATGGCACGTTATTAAAAATAAATAGTAAGCTTGTGAATGTGTTTGTTATGTGATTTAAGTAATCGTTGTGATGTTTTTTGTGGGAAGTAATCACAACTGTCTTCTGCTTTTACATTCGGCTATATTTATGATTTTGTGACTTTATCTGATCGCTATGGCTGTGATTGCTCTGTCCAAAAGGACCAGAGCGATGATATTTTACATTAATTGGACGTTATAAATCTATTTTAAGTAGTATTACCGAACTGTAATAATGACAAACGATGCATATAACATTTAATTTATAGCCTTTGTTGGGTTTCTTTGGGTAAGCTAAATCGATAAACAGATTTTGACGTATTTTATCTTAATGATATTATTATTATATTTTAATTTAGTTAACCACAACTATAATCCTTTCTTCTCTAAAATTTAATGGCAACTATTGTTGCAGATTTAAATTATGCCTCAAAATAAATTATCAATTGAAGAAAAACGTCTTAGGAAGAAATTGGCTGAGCGTCGTAGAATGGCCAAAATAAAAAATGATCCAGATTTATACGCGCAATGGCTTGTAAAGTCAAGAGAGAGTTACCAAAGGAAAAAAGCTCGGGGCACAGTACTACCAATGAGTGTTTTGACTCCAAGCCAGCAAAAGATTCGTAGGAAGAAAAGTAGGCAGAGTTCTCGACGATATTATCTAAAGAAAAAAATGGATAAGTTATCAGCAACCGATGAGCTCCCAATAAATGAAGAACCCATCTATAAATCTGAGAACCGTGATCCTCTTTCAAATGTTCCTCAATCAGCTCCAACCTTAAACACCTACAAAGTAACAACAAAACATAGAAAGATACTGCAAACTGTAACACAAGATGTTGAAAATGAGTTTAACATTATTAATCGTGTAAAAGATCATTCTCAGACAAGTTTTTGTCTTCCACAGACTTCTAAAGAATATGACAATGTGGCTAATTTTGATACACCCGCATCACCGGTTAGTAGACTAAGACGAATAACAAGATCTCAGCGGCTATCGCAAGGTACTGAACGAACGAACGAACTAACATGCATTGGTAGTGCTTCCTCCAGCATCTGTCCCGATAGTCCACAAAGTTCTATTAGCAACATATCAAATACGTCTCAAAAAAGTCTAGATTTATTCCCTAAACATAAAATATCGTCAGTTGCAAAAAAAACCTCTCCATGGAAAGCTTTATTAAGAAGGATGAAATATAAAGCTAATAGGGAATTAAAACTGAAAGATCAAAAGATTCAAAAGTTGAAAATAAGTAATGAACGTATTAGAAGACAGTTGAACAGGTTAAAAAAACAAAGTAAAGAAGGAAAACGTTTAGAAAGAAAAATGTTGGTTTCAACTCCTAACAAAGATAACGTACAAGAAATAAAATATACAGTAAAACAACAATTAATAAAAGATATAAAACTGTTTTTTGAAGATGATGATATTAGCCGCATGACATCTGGGAAAAAGGAGTTTATTACTAGAAATAAAATAAAAAAGCAAAAGCGCTACTTAAATGATACCTTACACAATTTGCACCAAAAATTTACTTTAAGATTTCCACAGCACAACATCAGTTACAGCTTCTTTTGTAAGCTACGAGCTACGTTTGCCTTTTGGGCCGTTATCCCAGATGCAAAATGCCGTGATACATGTCTTTGTGTAGAGCATGAGAACATGGATTTGGTTACCCTATCATTGAAAAAATACTGCATTATTAAAGAAAAATCATCAACGGAAATCTTAACCTCCTTAACGTGTAATTTGAGAAGTATAGACTGCCTTACAAGATGTTGCATTATCTGTAAAGAGAAACACCTGGAATATAAAGAGTTTGATAACAGTAAGCAAATTGAATATTTTAAGTGGACCAAGATCAAGAAGACTTACATGAAAAATGGAAAAGAAATGAAAACTACACAAACCTTAAAGCAAAAAGTCGAAGCTAATCCCAAGGATGTTATTAATTATTTTGAAAATATATGCAGCTCGTACATGCATCACTGCGCCAATATTATAGCCCAGAATAGCTACATTAAAAAACTTAAAGCTAATTTAAATTACGATGAGTGTTTAATCCACTGTGACTTCAGTGAAAATTATAATACCAAATACGCGACTGAAATTCAATCATTTCACTTTGGCGGTTCGCGCCAACAAGTAACCTTGCATACCGTAGTAATTTATTACAAAGAAGATGAGTTACTCCAGTCACAGTGCTTCTGTACGATTAGTGAGAGCTTGAGACATGACGCTGTAGCTGTTTGGGAACATTTGGTGCCAGTCCTCCTTTATATAGAAAACACATTGCCTAGAGTAACGTCTTTGCACTTCTTGTCAGACTCACCTTCGGGTCAATACCGAAACAAGAAATTGTTTCATATTATATCAAAACTACACTGGCAATACCCAAGTCTACGAAAAGTTATATGGAACTATTCGGAAAAGGGTCACGGTAAAGGTGCTCCTGATGGTGTTGGAGGAACGCTTAAAAGGACTGCCGATAAAATGGTGGCTCATGGATTAGATATACCTGATACGAAAACGTTTTTAGCTTATCTCAAAACAAATGTGTCAGGAATTATCCTGGAAGAAGTTGCAGAATCTGCCATATTAGAAAAAGACATGTTAATCCCCCAAGATATAAAAGAATTTCAGGGTACTATGAAGGTACATCAAGTAATTTGGTCAGCGAATACTAAAAACGTTTTGGCCATGAGGCGACTAAGCTGCGATTTAGGCAATTGTTCACAAGAAGCTGTACAATGTCCGCACGGCAATCACATAGGCTTTTACCAAATTGATAGCGACCCGAACCTAAACACCTCAAAGAAAAACATGTCACGGACATCAAAGAAGACCAGTCGGCCTTCGCTGGTCAAGCGTTCAAAAAACTGCGATCAGGAGAAGCAAATTCAGCTTCCACAAATGCTAAATAATAGACAGACTATAACTGCAAATCAAAGTCAAGAATCATTACATAACTCGGACCTGCCGGATAGTTTTTGGGATGAAGTCCCATCTATTGACTATGAAAATTTAATTACTCCAAGTATTTCCGAGGTAGTTTTATCTTCGTTGCAAAACGATAAAACCTTGACAAAGGCTGCTGCAGCAGAAGATTTATCCGACTCCGATGACTATTCAATTTTCTGAGCCTTATAGAAATTGTATTTTGGTGTTAAAATTTGTATCATTATAATTTTCAAACAATATTTTAATCTGATCTGATCATCTGAATTGCATTTTACTTTGTGTTGTTCTTTTTAATTCTTTACTTTCCACTAAAGATATAGTTAAGGAAAATGTGATTATTACAAATCTCTTAGATAATTTTGAAAAGACTGTCATAATCTTAGTCATAATTCTAAGTCCTATTAAGCATTATGATTACAAATAGTTACTTTAACCAATTGTTTTTTTGTTAGAATTTTATCTTCTTTAATTACTTTTTAAAAGCTAATATTTAATGAGTCTAAGTCATTTTATAACTATAAAAGAATGTAGGTAGGTTGGTTGATTTCAAAATATTTTTAATTTTGTGTCTTTTACCTAGAAGTGATTAATTAAGTCCAAATAAATGAAACTAAGCCAAAAAGTTGTTTTTTATAGTTATGTTAATTTGTTATTTAAGCAATTATTTTATACTAGCTTTTGCCAGCGACTTCGTCCGCGTGGAATAGTGACTTCCGGCAGATCTTTTACCCACATTTGTAGTTCCCGTGGAATGGGAACGTCTCGAAAACGAGACGTTCCCGTTCCTGTATGAAGGTCGCGTTTAGAAAGTGTACATTTCTAACATATTATTATAATCTTGTTACACGTACCCTGAATAACACTGAAAACGGTTAAATAAATAATATTTTATCAATATTAATTTTTTGTTTCACTAATTTCACAGTTTTTGATTGCTCTGGCACCAATTATGATTGCTCTGGTCGCAAAAATTTTTAAACTTAAATATTTCCATAACTGTTTATGTAAATTGAAGGCCAATAGTAAAAATGTACTATTTGAATATCATTATTTGTTATAAGATATATAATTACCATTAAATATCAATATCTGAAAAGCACCAGAGCGATCACACGAATACGCCAGTTTCGGAGATTGATCCTTATCCACTAGTTAAGTCATAGTGATTAAACTAATTTATTTTTTTATAAATGTGAACTGCAGGTGCATTTGGTGTGCCGCCGGGGCAGCGGGGTAAGCGCAATGAGGCAGCGCGACCTTGGCCCCGAGCAGGAGAAGGAACGGGGGGGTTTTTAGTCAGTAAGAGTCTGACACTCTCTCTCGCTTTACCCTGGGCGGGAGAAGACATTGGATGATTTTCCCCTGACAAAAAAAAAGTTGCAGTTGGTGTTAATGAAGGAATTTCTATGGTCTTAGGTGTAAAGAATATAATATTATGTTAGAATATTTTAGCGTTGGAATTGTATATTTATATAATACTAGGTTTTGCCCGCGACTTCGTTCGCGTCGAATAGTGACTTCCTGCAGATTTTTGGTATAAAAATATCCTATATCCTTTCTCGAGTTCCAAACTATGTCTGCACCAAATTTCACAAAAATCGGTTCAATAGTTTAGGCGTGAAGAAAAGACGGACCGAGTTACTTTCGCATTTATTATATTAAGTTCGGACTAGGCAACTTGCTGATCTCCTGTATGAACCAATGAAGTACCGTTCTTCAGTATTCGGGATGCCGACATATCTAAAACGAATCTGTAAGGATCGAGCATTTTCTTTTGTGAGGGGAAAATCATCAAATGACTTCTCCCGCCCAGGGCCGGACGGGAGGGAGTGTCTAAAAACCCCCTGTTCCTTCTCCTGCTCTGGGCCGAGGTCGCGGTGCCACATTGCGTTTACCCCGCAACTAAAGATCGAGCGTGGTACTTACATTCCAGGGTGATAGTTTGAGTCCGCTTTGGTTCTGCGTAGCCTTGAATCCTCTAAGCACATTGCTGGAGAATTCAGGTCTTGGCTACCGGTTGAAGAGAGGTTATATCTATCCCACCTCCTTTACATGGATGACTTAAAGCTTTTTGCCCCTAACAAACTAAACTGATCTCTGATGGAGCCAATCAAGCTAACTGAAACCTTCAGTAGTGCCACAGGATGGAGTTTGGTGTGGACAAATATGCGGTCATGAGTGTAACTTGGCACGCAAAGTTGTTGACATGTGGGAAGTGGATTCGGCTGTTAGTGTACCGATAGTCGTTGACACGACTATTAAACTATATTATACGACATTGGCTGACGCCAATGACGTAATAGGTAAGAGCCTCGACCAACACCTTACGAGACTAACGATAGGTGGCTGAATTAAGAAGGAGGAACTTGATTCAGAATGTGGTACTTCTGAACACGGCTCATATTGTCAGAAGGTTCCGTTCTTTGGACCCTGACTGCCGGTAGCTAAAACCCTGTTCCCGATACCTACCTAGGAAACTATTTTTAATATTTTTTTTTATGTTTTTATTCTTATATAAAAAAAAAATTATATTTTTATTTGTTCATTAAAGAAAAATAAGATAATGAGATGAAGTAATTTTGATGACTGGATATTTTTCTTTTTTTGATTTTGTAACACTGGATGTCGTGCTGTCGCGCATTCCACAGTATTTTTGTTTCAAGATCTGTAGCATAAAATAAATAATACTATCTCCTTTTTTATCATACACCTGGTCTGTTGTCAACAGAATGCTACGAATGTCTATAATTCTGAACATGTCATAAAATAGATTATTTCACACGTATGTTTGCCGAAGATAATGTAGATATTTTATTCGTAAAATTGTGAAATTAGTCGTAAGTATTGGTGTTTATTAATGGTTATTAATGTCCTTACTTACCATTTCTTAATTTTTATATAGGAAGTTTTCATCAATGCATTAACTCGGTAGTTAAAACTAGTTCATTCCAACTTCTTATTTGGCTTCAAATAACTCGATGGTTGTTCTTTTTCAGTAACAAGATGTCTTCGTCCGCAATATACATCTTAGATGTGAAAGGTAAAGTCCTCATATCGAGGAATTATCGCGGCGATGTCGACTTGGGCATCATAGACAAGTTCATGCCGCTATTGATGGAGAAAGAGGAAGAAGGAATGCTCACTCCTCTGTTGCAGACCAGTGAATGCACTTTCGCTTATATCAAAACTAACAACTTGTACATTGTATCAACAACAAAGAAAAATGCTAACATAGCACTTGTTTTCGTGTTCCTGTACAAAATTGTGGAGGTCATGACTGAATACTTTAAAGAGTTGGAAGAGGAGAGTATCCGGGACAACTTTGTGGTCATATATGAGCTGCTTGATGAATTAATTGACTTTGGATACCCACAAACAACTGACAGCAAGATACTTCAGGAGTACATAACTCAGGAAGGCCACAAACTTGAAATGCAGCCCCGTATTCCCATGGCAGTCACAAATGCTGTATCTTGGAGGTCTGAGGGTATCAAATATAGGAAGAATGAAGTGTTCTTAGATGTTATAGAATCTGTTAACCTGTTGGCTAATTGCAATGGCAATGTTCTGAGAAGTGAGATTGTAGGAGCCATTAAAATGAGAGTGTACTTGTCAGGTATGCCCGAATTGCGCCTTGGGCTCAATGATAAAGTCTTGTTCGAAAGTACAGGCCGAGGCAAATCAAAATCTGTGGAGTTGGAAGATGTGAAGTTCCATCAGTGTGTCAGATTGTCTCGATTTGAAAATGACAGGACAATTTCTTTCATTCCACCTGATGGAGAGTTTGAGTTGATGTCGTACAGATTGAATACTCATGTCAAACCTTTGATTTGGATTGAATCTGTCATTGAACGTCATGCACACTCTAGGGTTGAGTATATGATCAAGGCAAAGTCTCAGTTCAAGAGGCGTTCAACTGCTAATAATGTTGAAATTATAATTCCCGTCCCAGCTGATGCTGACTCTCCAAAATTCAAGACTACAATTGGCAGTGTCAAATATACTCCAGAACAGAATGCTATCACCTGGTCTATTAAATCATTCCCTGGAGGCAAAGAGTACTTAATGAGAGCTCACTTTGGATTACCATCTGTTGAATGTGAAGAAGTTGATGGAAAACCACCAATCCAAGTGAAGTTTGAAATCCCATACTTTACTACTTCTGGTATTCAAGTAAGGTACTTGAAGATTATTGAAAAGAGTGGGTATCAAGCTTTACCTTGGGTGCGGTATATCACACAGAATGGAGACTATCAGCTAAGAACTAACTAATCATTTTTATTACATTCCATAGATATAAGAAGCACCATATTATGTTATAAACAAGTTGTCTTTTTGCATTATTATTATTAATAATTATTATAGGTTAAAAAAATTATGTAGTATTATTATGTATTTGTTTTGACTAAAATAAATTAATTTTCTTGAGAATCAAGGCTTTATTTGTATATCATCAAACTACCAATTACTTATTTGATACTTAAAAATGCTTTGTTTGACATTAAAGTTCATTAGTAATAAAAACCGTAGGTACTTTACTGGATTGATAGTACCTACTGTTACAAACTCAAAATAAAGATATAAGATAAAAAAGCCGAATCGTATACTAGTTTAAGGCATTAATTCATTTCCAATAATCAATATGTTAATTTTATCGTGTTACCGAGTACGAAATAAAAAATCGAATTTAAAAAAGATGTGAGTAGTGCTATTTAAATTCTGGGTAGACCATGTCTAGCGCTAATAGATTTCCTAAAATTGGCTAATAACATTACATTTATATCTTATCAATAAGTTATCAAGAAGATGATTCATCGTCATTGTCAGGTAGGTTCTATGCCGCCGATATAACCACTTAGGCTAATCTATATATAGATAGGTAGGTACTACAAAAAAAATTATGTAGGTAAAATTTCAAAACGAAATTTTATGTTCCAGAAAAAATCATAAATAGAACCATTTCTGAACATAGTAGTGTAACAAATAGTCTCCAAAAAAAAAAAAAAAAAAAAAGTAACAAATAGTTTGACATGTACAAACATGTCTACTAGGCGCGCGAATGTTTGTTTTGAGAAATAAATAAACTAAGTATAAAATGAGAACTGCTAGATTATTCCGTGAAAATACAAAGAAATTAAGAATTACTGTTCCTAGATTTTACTGTGATATATTACCTTCCAGTAAAGTTGTTATAATAAAAAAGAAACCTGAAAATAATGAAGACGTTAACCTCAAAAAGGAAAAAGTTACGAAAAACGAAAATGTTCAACAACAAGATGAAGAATATAATACTATTTCTAGTAATTCAGAGGAATTTAGAGTTAATGAAGTTAATATACAAATGATATCTAAAAATATCTATGAGCAGTTGTTTAAAAAACCTAGTCAAAGAGTGGATCCCCAAGTGATAAAAAGGTAAACAAAATAATCATATTAATATCGCAAGGCGTAGGAAACAAAGTTATACAAAAAGAACACTGTGAAACTGGGTTTAGGTTAAATAATAGTGAAAAATAGTGTACATATTTTGCACTTAGTTTTTTAAACAGCATTTACTTATGATTTTGTTGTTTTTTGTTTAATTGGATTTGTAGGTAACAAGCCAGGATTATATTATTCATCATGTTGTTTCAATATTCATATCTAAAATTATGTGATAGGTCAGGAAACAAACAGATGGATTTCCTAATGGTAAGCAATCATCACCAGTCTTTTTTGTTATTAGGGATGGGGGAGGGTAAGTATTGGGCCTCCGGTAACCTCACTCACATGGCGAAACACAATGTTTTGGTTGTTTTACACCGGTTTCCTGTGAGGCCATGGTGTCACTTCGGTCTAACCAACCCATTTGTGCCAAAGCATGGCTCACACAGTCCCACACCTACACTTAGAATATATACTTAATTCATCAAAGCCCAAGCAAATGCATCTATTTTGTGCACCTATTGTGCTTCTGTTGTACCTTGACTGGCCACAATTAAAAAGTTATAAGTTTTTATATAAACTCTATAGTTGTCAAGACAGTCTTCTAAGGCATGGCATAGACTATAAAAAATGCAGTCACCTACCAGATGTGCAACTAAAGCTACCTAAATTAGAAGGAAATGATGTTGTGGAACATTTTTATAACATTGGGGAGCAGCAAAGCGCCCCATATAGAGAGTTACTGAAGAGATTGGCTAGCTGTGAGTTACCACCAATGCCAAAGGTAAGTTCCTCTAGTAAAATACTTCAATTACATCAATAATACCAAAAAAGCCATCACTATACTTGCAGCTTGAAGTACCTCTAGTGTTAATATGTCAATGGTCAGCACCAATTCTTTACCATAATTTGTTCCACTGGCTTATTTGCTAATCAATTGTGGTCAATTTTCACACTAAGGGGCAAGCCTATTGCCATTGAAGGCTTGAAAAATGGTTACAATACTTCACTTGATTTCATGTATTTATTAAAAGGAGCTATAGTGAGTATTTTTTTTAAGTCAACTTAATTAATGGTGAAAAGCTCTTCAAGTATCAATGGGATTCTTATTCATGAGATGTTTTGCTACCAACTGTGATAGAGATGTAGTAATAGTAGAACTTTTTCAGTAAATTCACAAAATTGACATTTGATTTCCAATTAATTTAATAGAAATGGTCAAAAACTTCTGGATGGACAAAATACTCTGGTGAATCTCAAGAGTCAGTAGCATGCCCACCTGACAATGCTTTGATCTTTGATGTGGAAGTTCTTATGTCTGCTGGCAAAAGGCCCACTTTGGCTTGTGCGGTGTCCACAGATGCGTGGTGAGTATTCCACAACTCAGCTTTTAAGAATAAAAATATTCTAAATCATTTAGCCTTAGTCATAATAGTGATTATTCAAAAAACGAGTCAAGTGTGAATAAGTTGGTTGTTTCCAAATCTTACAGGTATGGCTGGATAAGTGAACCGCTCGCTAATGATGATCCGCATAAGGTATTTGACAACATAAACTATGATGATTTGATACCTTTGGAAACTGATGATCGGAAACCTGTTGGGGATCTAAACCGGTATAGGATTGTAGTTGGCCATAATGTATCTTTCGACAGGGCCAAAATTAAAGAACAGTACTGGCTGGATAGAACAGGTAATTCTTTTACAAAAGTAATGCACACAAGATTTTTTTTTACGAGCAGACGGATTACCTGATGGTAAGCAATCAGCGCCGCCAATGGACACCCGCAACGGAGGAGTTACGAGTGCGTTGCCGACGTCTTAGGGATTAGGGATTTGGAGATTTAGGGATTGAGGAGGGATTGTGGGCGGGGAAGGATTGGGCCTCCGGTAACCTCACTCACACGGCGAAACACAACGCTGTGGTTGTTTCACGCCGGTCTTCTGTGAGGCCGTGGTATCACTCCGGTCGAGCCGACCCATTCGTGCCGAAGCATGGCTCTCCCACACTTTTTTTATGGATTTATCCGACAATAACAGTAGACTAGAAAGTGCGGGAGAGCCAAGCTTCGTCACGAACGGGTCGGCTCGACCGGAGTATTACCACGGTTACACATAAAACTGGCGTTGTGTTTCGCCGTGTGAGTGAGGTTACCGAAGGCGCCATTCCCCCCCAAATCCCTTCCCAATCCTTAAATACCTAGATCCCTTGAAAATCAAAGCCGCGACACTGTCTCGTATGGGGTCGCTGCACAATGCTGACCGAGGGCCATTTCGCGTGCTTGGACGCATATTTTTCTCCTACCCTTTACTTTTGTTATATTGTTTTACCATGCTTTATGTATATATTTTTATTTTTACCTTTATTAACCGACTTCCAAAAAGGAGGAGGTTCATTTTATTTATCTTGTTCGTTTTGTGTCTTTTATGCGTCCCAGACGCAAATAAATACTTTTTCTTTGTTTGTTTATCCCTTAAACGCACTCGTAACTCGTTTGGTGTTGCGGGTGTCCATGTGAGGCGCTGTTTGCTTACTATCTTTTGCGTTTGCCGACCTGTACCATAAAAAGGACGGTTCAAACTCAATAATATACGTAAAATTATACAACATACTTGTAAAATAAGACGTCCGATTGTCTCCTTTCGTATTATGGGTTAATGATGAGCATCAATTGCTTACGATCAGGTAATCCGCCTACTTCTTTGAAGACCATTGACATAAAAAAATTACAAGAAAGAAGTGATGTTATGTTCTTTGACGAATGTTCCATAAAACAGGTGTGCGGTTCATGGATACAATGTCAATGCATACATGCGTCAGTGGAGTCACCAGCTACCAACGTACTGTGCTGAAAGCGAAGAACAAGGAGCCCCACCCATCTGATGATGACTGGATAGAGATCAGCTCACTGAACAATTTAAGTGAGGTAAAGATTGTGATTTGATAATGTTATGTTGTGTTTTTTTTTTTTATTATAACTTTCGTGAGACATACTAAATTAATTATTATGTTTTCGGCTTACTCACGTCACGTAATTGTTTTGACGAGATACTCGACTACTTTCAAGCCATGCTAGAGGCCCGACGCGTCGATTATTTACAAAAATGTATCGCGGAATGCTGCTCATGACTATGGGCCTCTAGCATCTCTAGTCTAGTTTTTTTTCATAGCTCCGCTAGCCAGGAGGCGGATAACCTGATGGTAAGCAATCAGCGCTGACCATAGGCACTCGTAATACCAAAGGAGTTATTACAAGTGCGTCGCCGGTCTCTTATGGATTATAAGGGATTTAATGATAGGAGTTTGAGGATTGGAAGGGGGTAGGATTGGGCCTCCGGTAACCTAACTCACACGGCGAAACACAACGTGACTGTTGCTTCACGCTGGTCTTCTCTGCTGTGTAAAAAAATTAAGTTATTAAAATTCACAGGTACACAAACTCTACTGCGGTACACCGGTAGATAAACAAACTCGGGACATATTCGTGGACGGCACTATGCAAGACGTTCACGAAAACTTTCAAACATTGATGCAGTACTGCGCCAACGATGTAGTGGCTACCCATGAAGTGTTGAAGGAACTTCTGCCATTATTCTTACACCGGTTCCCTCATCCTGTCACCTTGGCTGGTATGCTGGAATTAGGTAAGTTCTTATTACTACAATAACAAGCTTTCTCTTTTTTATGGTAGGTGTATGTTTTATTTTTTAATGGTATAAGTCGACAAACGAGCAGACGAATTACGTGATGGTATAATCTAATACCAATCAACACCGCCCATGGACACCCGCAACACCTAAGAAGTTACGAGTGCGTTGCCGGCCTTATAAGGATTAAAGGTTTCGAATATTTAAGAATTGGGAGGAGGAGGAAGGATTGGGACTCCGGTAACCTCTCACTCGGCGAAACACAACCCTGTGGTTGTTACACGCCGGTTTTCTGTAAGGCCAGTCTAGTCGAGCCGACCCATTCGTGCCGAAGCTTGACCCTCCCACACTTGAAATTCTCTGTTCAAAATTTCCATCATCAAATTGCTTAGTCCTTTAGCTTAGTAGAGTCTTATATTGACACGAGAACTTGTGCTCAAATAATTTTAATTTGTCTAGAAATAGATTTTTTTGATGTTTTTGAGCTTAAAAGTAATAATATAAATAACAGTTATCTTATTGGCTATTCGACTTAATGAACCATGTTCTATGACATAACACTCATATTTGTTTTTCAGGGTCAGCTTATTTGCCCGTCAACTCAAACTGGCTCCAATACATTGACTCAGCAGAAACAGTTTTCGAAGATTTAAAATTAGAATCTAGGCAGATATTGTCTATGAAAGCCGATGAAGCTTGCAGTATGCTCAACGACAATTCTTATAAAAAAGATTTGTGGATGTGGGACCAAGATTGGTCAGTACAGAACCTAAAGCTAAAAAAGATAAACACAAAAAAGAAAAAAGTTATTAAAGAAAAATCTGATCAAAATAATGAAAATAGTAAATTAGAAAAGAAAATAAGCATCACACATAAAACGCCCAATGAAAATATTCCTAAACCAGACCTATCAAAGTTCGAAGTTTTAAATGAGGAATACATTCGATGTTTAGAAGATTTTCAAAATAGTTCGACGGAAAACAACGAGGAAGTTATAGAAGATCTGAGCAAGGAGTTTGAATATTTATTCGAATTAGGTGAACATTTGCCTGTAAAGAGGCCGTATTTGCCCGGTTACCCGGCGTGGTATAGGAAATTATGTACGAAGCCAGGCAAGGATCCTGAGTGGTCGCCTGGGGCTAATAATATAACAACTAGCATGCAAGTAAGTTTATTATTTTTTTACTATGTGCAGACTAGAATTTGTATAGAGCCCGATATGTCTGATATCCCCTTATTACCGGCTAAAATTTTTGTACAAATCTCAACTCCCAAGTCATTGAATTAAGTTTTTGACGTTAGACGTGAGATGACTTTTTTTATGAGGGGAAATTTATCCGATGGCTTCTCTTGCCCAGGTTGAGAACGACAGGGAGTGTCAGACTCTTACTGACTAAAAAACCCCGTTCCTTCTACTTTTTTTTATGTGGGCAAACGAGCGTATGGATGGTGAGCAATCAGCGCCGCCCATGATCCCGCAACACCAAAGGAGTAACGAGTGCGTTGCGGGTCTTTTAGGGATAAGGGTTTCGGATGTTTATGGATTGGGAAAATGGGGGGAAAGGGAGGGATCGGGCCTCCGTTAACCGCAGTCATTCGGCGAAACACAACACTGTGGTTGTTTAACGCCGGTTTTCCGTGAGGCCGTGGTCGAGCCGACCCATTCGTGCCGAAGCTTGGCTCTCCCAAACTTGTCCTAATCCTGCTTTAAGCCGAAGTCGCTTTGCCTTTTGGCACTAGCCCCGCAACCCCAGTCGATCATCGGCCCTGTAGGGCCTCGTCTATGGTTATTCTACTAACTTCGTGAGAATCAAGAGATCTTAGCTGCCATTTTAGATAACGCCGAAGCTACTCCGCTTATCATGGGAAGGGTACCCACTCCACTACATCAAGGAGGAAGGTTGGGGTTTCCTAGTGCCCTACAGCCGACGGCGTAGTGAAGATGCAGAGGAGCCACTGGTCCCAATAGATGAATTACTACAGGCCTGCCCTCTGACATTCTGCAAGGACTCTGAATTCAAACCCGATGTTTATACGCTGCCGAAAAATGTTGAGGTACGATTTTTTTTAATAGTTAATCAGTCGAGCTTTTTTATTAGCGTTCCCGGTGACGTCGTGCAATCAACTGATTCCTAGTAAAACGAGTACAGCTTTTTTCAGTTAATTCACGTTACTTATGTGAATAAATTGTGAAAAGCTGTTAATAAAACTGCACGGTTGGCGCGGTGGCTGGGCAACTAGCTGCCGTGCAACGTGTCGCGGGTTCGATTCCCGCACGGAACAACTCTTTGTGTAATCTACAATATTGTTAAGTCGCAATTTTAATTTATTGCTCATTATCTGTCTGTTATTATTAGACAGTCACGATTATCTGTAAACTCCAAATGATTCTAACAGATGTCGATACCTTTCGACTGGGTTGAGTAAGTAATCAATAGATGGCGCTGCTATGGTAAATCTACGAACGTGTCATATAAGCTACATTTTAACAGCATAATTTCTTATATAAAAATGAATTGCTGTTCGTTACTCATATCTAAACTCGAGAAAGGCTGAACCGACATGGCTTATTGTGGTCTTGAAATGTTTTTGGATATACAGGGAAGGTTTAAAACTTCAGAGAATATGACCTAATTAAAGAAAAAAATATTCTAGGCAGGACGAAGCTTGCTGGGACAGCCAGTATCGAAATATATTTCAGGTGTCACATGAAGATTGTAATAAAAAAAAATTAATCAAGAGCAAAATAGCTCTTTATTAAGTGGTATTTTTACATTAGTATCTATTAAACAGTGAGTAGCTATTATATCATTGCATATGTTTGACAGGAGGACCTAGGCAGGCGTGCTTATTACGCTCGAAAGAAGAAAGACGAGCAAGCAGCTGCCAACCAGTACCATGGACTGGGCGTATGGTCCGGAATCGATGTTCAAGGTAAAATCAATTTTATGCCCCATAAAATACGATTTATAATTGAGAAAATTTGTTGGCCACTACATTTGTTTCATATCTAATAACTTAGTTATTTTTCTCGTAGGCTGTTGTCATTTTTTACGTCTGCCTCACAAAGATGGACCGAAGTATAAAGTAGGCAATCCATTGGCTAAAGATTTTCTTGAGATGTTCAGTCAAAACGTGCTGTCCGCACAAGGGAATGAAGCTGAAAAGGTAAGAAAAATCTTAATTTTTACTTACGTATCTTTGTACTTACGTTTTTTACTTACGAGTACCGAAAATCAACTTTAAGAACGTTTACGTGATGCGGGTGTTTATACAAGCTTTTAAGTACAAAATGACAAAGATGTTCTTGATACCGCAAAATATATCAATGTCAAAAAGCTAGTTGAGACTTCGACTTCGAACAGAAAACTGTTGACGCCAATTCATCTGTTAGCGTGGTCCATGTTAGCCGGTTGTGGTTTTTTTTTTAACAACAGCAGGGATAGTCATCAAATTCTCGCCCAGGGTATAGCGAAAAGAAGTGTAAAACTAGATACTCCCTCTCGACCCACTTAGGGCTACCAGTTCCTAGATGCCCTCCCCACTAAAAATGGCTTTAAACGTTTTAATTAAGAAAATTTCCTTTTATTTAATTAAGTACATAATTTTAAATTTCGATATGAAAATATTATTTTTTTAACGTATATTAACAACCTGTGTCGTGTCAACGCCTTTATGGTTTACAAAATAAGGTCTACAATTCAATTAAATTTTCACTTTTCGCTTTACCAATAGGTTCTAACGTTTGGTCGTATGATGTCGTACTGGCGGAACAATAGGGAGCGTATACTGAGTCAGCAGGTAGTGTGGTTGCCTGACGAGTTTCTTCCCCCAAGTTTGCGCAGTACTTGGAAGAAATATGGCGCTATAATACCCCAGGTGGTCGTCTGTGGGACGCTGACGAGGCGGTGAGTCAACCTTAAGTGTGGGAGAGTCAATCTTCGACACGAATGACGAACAACCTCACTCACACGATGAAAAACAATGCTATAGTTGTTTCACGTTTTTCACTGTGAGGCCGTGGTATCACTCCGGATGAGCTAAGTCATTCTTGTCTAGCATGGCTCTCCCACACTTTATACATATTATAATACGTTATGGTGCAAGTTTGTAATGTTGGTGTTTACCGCTGAGGCGCATTGAGGCCTCAAGGAGCCGAGGACCGTAACATCAATACACACATGTCTCATACGACGTTTTTCAACACACTTCTGAATAAAATAACACAAAATAAGAAAACCATCAAAAGAGATAACGTGACGAGTTGTGAAAAATGTTTTTTAATGGCGGGAAAAATGAATGAGTTCTCCTATGCGCACGCATTGGCCATAGACTAAAAAAAATGATGGTCCCTTTTTTTGAGCTTTTTGCGGATATCATTTTACCGCAAATGAAGGCGTAACTCAACCAATAATTTAAAAAGAAACTATATTGTTCCATGGGAATATAATGAAAAAGTCACAGTTTGATAATAGGTGTCATTACGTGCCTAATTGCCGTACCATAACAGGAAGTTTGTGAGGAAGTGTGTTGAAAAATAGTTTTATTTTATTTTGTCAGTGCTAGCGAACCGACTTGGATGACGGCGAGTAACGCACACAAGGAACGCGTTGGATCAGAATTGCGAGCCATGGTTCAGGCGCCGCCCGGACACAAGTTTGTGGGCGCTGACGTTGATTCACAGGTATTATTCCAAACAAATATCGTGATTATTTACTCTAGCCAAAATACAGGGTGTCATTTTGAACGAGGGTCATCTGCAAGGACCCGTTTCTGGTCCTCAAATAAAACGACTTTTGTGTAAGACGATTATTGAAATGTCATACAAAAATTATTTACTTCACCACTTTACTGCAAAAAGATCAATCAGCTGTTGCGATTCGTATGGAAAGAAAAAAGAAAGAAGAAAGAAAAGAAAAAATATTTATTTGCACCGCAAAAATTAAAAACAGACACATTAGGTACAACTTATATGGAGAGTATGCACGGCGCGGCGTGACCCGAGAGTATAACTCGCGCCGCGGCGCTGATTTTCAGCACTAGCCCGTCACTATAATATAAAATTTAGATATTTTATATGAGAGTGCATAATTGTTATTCTTTGAGTTATACAAAGTTAATATAATAATATGGGGAAATCAATTTATTTATTATGATATTTCGATATTGGTCTTATGGAAAAAGTTGTTGTGATTGAGCACCAAACTCGGCTCCTTGAGTATGAAAAATGCCATCCTGGATATTGTTTTAAATTTTTGATACCATAAAATTAGTAAATTATTATGAGATGAAATGTAATACAAAAATAGCAACATATAGCAATACTTTCTATATTATAAATTTAAAAGGCTATTGAAACAGGCTCTTAATTTTTCACTCTTAATCCTCGTAGGAGCTATGGATAGCAGCGTTGTTAGGCGATAGTACCCTGGGTTTATGTGGGGGCAGTGCCTTCGGCTGGGCAGTGCTCGCTGGGGACAAAAGCCGAAAGACCGACCTACACTCATTAACAGCTACCGCGGCCGCCGTCTCACGAGACCACGCCAAAGTTATCAACTACGCACGAATATACGGTGAGTTTAATTTCTGTATTATGCAAAGATACACCCTTATTATACTTCTTACTAATATTAAAAATGCGAAAGTTACGACGTTTGGATGATTGTCTGTGATGTGACTCAATCACGCCAAAATGGCTTGACGAATCTGCATGAAATTTGGCACAAGCATAGGATAGACAGACACTCCGGAATAGGACATAGGCTACTTTTTATCAACATACCGCGCGGGTGAAGCCGCGGAAGGAAGCTAGTTTGGTGCGATGGCTAGGCAACTGGCTGCCGTAAAACGTGTCGCGGGTTCGATTCTCGCACGGTACAACTCTTTGTGTGATACACAAATTGTTGCTCCGGGTCTGAGTGGCTTGTGTATGTGTCCTGTCTTGCACATGCTGAACTGGTCCCATTTCACGGGAGACTTGGGACATGAACATTTATCAATTAATATTTCCTAACAGAATGTCTTAACTATCTGTATGCACATGTCACTTTTCTTTCTTTCTTTTAATTGTATATGTTTGTAACCGCACCGACGACACAACAGAAAATCTCTTTACGCGAAACACAGCTCTGTTTTTCCCGCCGGTTTTTCTGTGAGCTTGGCTCTCCCACACTTAAAATGATTTAAGCAAACGTAGTGATATAGTAATAGAAAAAGCTACTTTCTTTTACACTAAGTATTACCTTACGCCCGCGTGGTATGTTGATAAAAATAAAAACAGAATCCAGACCCGTCCAGCCGTTTTGGCCTGATTGAGTAACAAACATCTAAACATCCAAACATTTTTTTTTTGTGATCGTAAAATCATCAAAAGATTTCTCCTGCCCAGGGTCGGGCGGGAGGGCGTGTCAGACTCTTACTGACTAAAAACCTCCCGTTTCTTCTCCTGCTCTGGGCCGAGGTCGTGGTGCCTCATTGCGTTTACCCTGCAACCCAAAACATCCAAACATCGTAACTTTCGCATTTATAATGTTAGTAAAATGTAATGATTTTTTTTTTATTTATACTTCATGCACAATTTATTATGTACATTAGGCGGACTTGAGGACTGATTTTACTTATAGGTGCTGGACAAAATTTCGCGGAGCGATTGCTAAAGCAGTTTAATCCGACGATGACGATATCGGAAGCTAAGAGTAAGGCAGCTAAGATGTTCTCTTCGACTAAAGGGAGACGCGTGTATCGGTTGAAGAAGCAGTATATGGAAGGTTTCATGGAAGAAGATTTGGATGAACAGGTACATTTTACAAACAACAACCAGATTTGGTTGGGTCCAATCTTCAGAGTCTCGAGGACAGGCGCAGAGTAGCTTTGCGGTTTTCTACAGAATGCATTTTGGAGAGTGTGCGCAGGAATTGCACGATTTGATTCCGCCATCCCAATTTCACCTTCGGACATCGGGGCGTACGGCGAATATCCACCCTTACGTTGTTGAGTTTGTCATATCGGTAAAGGCATTATTGAGTTATATTACAACGAAAAGTGATTGAGATATTGATTTTTTTTATATCCAGATCCTGTCGAAGGTCTGCAGGAAGTAATTCCTATAGGAATATGCAGTGCCTTTTACCTCTTTTGTTAAATATGTACCTATTGTGTCTTAATGTCTATTATTTTTTGCGCATAAATTAATAAATATAATGAAATAAAAGTTTTGTTACAGGTGGTAGAAATGACTTCGTACCAAGCGATGCGTTTAGCAAAGATTAGCGGGAAGAAGCTGGATGACATGTTCGAGAGACCAAAGTGGGTGGGAGGGACTGAATCCGATATGTTTAACAAGCTGGAAGAAATTGCCGGTATAGTACCAGGATAATTCTATACTAACATTATAAAGTGGTAAAATTTGTAAGTTTGTATATAGGGGGTAATCTTTGGAACCACTGGTCGGATTACCAAAATTCTTTCACTGATAGATAGCTACAATATTTCTGAGTGCTAAGGGCTATAAAACATCACGCTACGATAGATAAAACCGCGCGAGAGTAGCTACAGTATCATATACTTAGTAGTAGTAGTGTGGGAGAGCCAAGCTTCGGCATGAGTGGATCGACTCAAGGTGGAAGTACATATAACTCGGAAAAAGTCACATAGATACTTGCCACTCTCATGCATGAGCAGTGGGCGCCTTAACCTCCGAGTCACCACTTGCACAAGCACTTTTTTTAATGTAATAGACCGGCAAACGAGATCGTAGACGGATCACCTGACGGTAAGCAATCAGCGCCGCCCATGGACACCCGTAACAGAGGAGTTACGAGTGCGTTGACAACCTTTTGGGGATTAGGGAATTTGGAGATTTAGGGACTGGGGGAGGGGAAGGATTGGGCATCTTAAACTTAAATAGTATACCTTCTATATATAAGTGTACCTTGTACATAACCGCTTAAATAAATGAATAAATATTTCGTAGATTCCGAGGGTCCATCGACGGCGTTTCTATCAGGTCGATTGTCTCGCGCGTTGGAGCACGCCCAGGGTCGATGGGGCGGCACCCGCCTCAACTGGGCAGTGCAAAGCGCTGCCGCTGACTTCCTACATCTCATGCTAGCTAGCATGGCTCATCTAGCTCCGAAAGCCAGGTAATTTTACGAAAAAACTAGCTTGAAGATTTATAGCGGTCCGGCAGTGAGGAGGTACAGGAATGGATTTTAGTCAGAAAAAGTGATCATCATCATCATCAGCCTATAAGTGCCCACTGCTGAGCAAAGGCCTCTTCTCACACGGAGAAGGTTTGAGAATCAATCACCACGCTTGCTCAATGCGGGTTGGCAATTTCAAACTTATAATTAGAAATTGTAAGTCCTTAAAGGTTTCCTCTCGATGTTTACGTTCACCGTATGTCACTGACATGTGTCTAAATAATCATGGTACTTGCCAGGTTTGGAACCGACACTCTCATTATATGAGAAGCGGGCGCCTTAACCTCCGGGCCGCCACAACTAATAGTCATTCTCCCTTTTAATAGATATAATACATTAGATAATATTTATCAATTAAAGCCCGAGTGAATAGGTTACCTTTGTGTAGGCGTACTCCATCGTAGGTAGAATCAACGCTTAGACCACCAAGTTAGACATTAAAACAAACAAAACACTTCCAATTGAAATATTCGAACTGTGTCGCTTGAAACTGTTAGATACATTTTACGAGTATATCACTTAGGGTTGATTTTTTTTGTGTGATAGGACGGCAAATGAGCTGACGGATTACCTGATGGTAAGCAATCACCGTCTCCCATGGACACCCGCAACAAAGAAGGAGTTACGAGTGCGTTGCCGACCTTTTAGGGATTGGGATTTTGGGGATTTAACTATTGGGGGCGGGGAAGGATTGGGCCTCCGGTAACCTCACTCACACGGCGAAACACAACGTTGTGGTTGTTTCACGCCGGTTTTCTGTGAGCCCGTGGTATAACTCCGGTCGAGCCGACCCATTCGTGAATGATTTTTCAATAGTCGGATAAATGTTATAATTATGAGGAATAAAATTGTTGCTTTTACTGTCTTATACAAACATTCTGACGCGAAAGCATCATAATAATTCCCCAGTTAACTTTTATCTAAACATTGAAAAATTAGCCTTTAATAAACTTTAAACTCTGAATTCTCGATAAAAATAACACGCAGAAACAAATTTTGAGGTACAACTCGCTTTGACCTGGTAATAATACATTTAAAAACTTATTCCGTTAAGAAGACTTTTGTTCTTTACATGTCGGAAACCGTAATTACTTATTGTTGTGAAACAAAAGTGAATAGAGAGCCACATTTTTATATTTTTGCTAACCTTTAACCAACGCCAATTTAAAAAAAAGGAATTTGCAAAAAAGCTTTGAGAGCGTTTACGTTGCACGTGTTATTATACACTCTGTGATTTCGAAAACCGTGGAAACTAGTATGAGTACACTATCGAATAGTATTTAATTTAACTGTTTGTTTGATGTAAAGTATCATTTTTCATTAACCTTTTAGTCGTGGTACTTCGACACACAATATAAGAACAATAGGCGTTCCCTTGGAGTTTGATAAATTTAAATTGGTTGGTACACTTCCATTATCGATTTGAAAGCTTGTAAGAAACCGCTTATAGAAAATGCTCTCAAGTTAATTTATTACTATATTTTTATTTAAAATCTTCCGTTAATTACAACTGGAATAAATAATGACTTTCAATTTGTCTGGTCTAGGTTTGTGACAGATACAACATTGAAAAGTAAAACTAAAGTATAAAAAAATCATAATTTCGTGGAGGCAGTGAGGTTCGAAATGTCACAAGTGACCTTTCCCGACTTATACTTGCATTCAGTATGTACTTTCAAAGATTATTTAGACACCACTGACACGGTAAAGGAAAAAATCGTCAGCAAACTTAATATATAATATTTAATTGTAGGTTTTAATACACTGTGTAATGTGCAATCGCAGTTATTAATCTCCGTGTGAGAAGGGCATTTGTGCACTTGTGATTTTGGATTAATTTTTAATGGGTATTTCATCCAATCACTTATCTCGCCCTCGGAGAGGGAGACTCATATTCTTACGTACTAAATACCACCTCGTGCCCTCCCATGAGCCATGCCTGAGGCCACGGTACATTATTTTTCTTGCACCGAAACCTGATTTTTTTCTGTTAAATCCTAAAATGCCATATTATGTAACGCTAAGTAAATTCATACAAGATTGGGCTGCTGGCTGCGTCGCAAGTCGCAACGTGTCACGAGTTCGATTGTCACTACAACTTTTTGTGTGATCCACAAACTGTTGTTCTGGGTCTGGTTGTAATGTATATGTGATATTGTATAGTGAGAAAAGCCTAATGTAAGGCAACGTAAGTAAATCAAATACTCTTTCTCTTTACAGGTTCTGCCTCAGTTTTCACGATGAGGTCAGATATCTTGTGTCTGACGAATACAAGTATGAAACAGCTCTAGCACTCCAAATAACTAATCTTCTGACAAGAGCGTTTTGTTCACAACGGTACTAATAACAATAATTATTTATTTATTATTTTGCTTTATAGCTTACGCTTGCTAGCTTTGTTTTGATTGACGTTAAAATACATTGCTTGTATCAAGGCTTTCAAATTTAAATAACATTGTTAAAAGAGTGTTTATACGGCATCATATTCAGTTCAAAGCATTGTAGACCTTAATAAACTGCGTACGAGTACCTAGTTTCGTTTAAAAAATCCCTGACTACCTATAGACTTGGAAAGTTTGTATGAAAACACGCGCTACATAAATGCTCTTTAGCCAAACAGACAGCAGTACCTACCCATATTTGCTGCTCTTTCTACATATAACTTTTTTTTCAGAGTTGGTATAAATGATCTGCCGTTATCAGTAGCTTTCTTCACAGCGGTTGAAGTTGATCAAGTGTTAAGAAAAGAGTCCAATCTCGATTGTACCACACCATCCAACCCTCACGGCTTAGATAAAGGCTACGGGATCCCTAATGGCGAGTCTTTAAATATATTTGAAGTACTGGACAAATGTAAATTGAATAAATCTGTTGAATAAATTGTACATGACTTTTATTAATCTTTAACTATACCAACATTATGAAGAGGAACATTTGTTTTTATTTATTACTCGTGGCCAGCTCTCGCTATGCTATTCTCTAAAGTTAAAGGAAATCACTTCTGATTCCACGGTAAAATCATGTTTATTTAAAGTTTCCTATACTCAAATGGAGTGAAATCAACATTGGCGCCACCATGTGAAAAACGAAATGAAAGGAACTAAAACAAGTGAGTATTTTGACGGTTGTGTACAGGCGAGATGAGAAGCGGAGTGGTGTGTGATTTTCGAGATGAGTTTCGAGGTGACTTACCATTTACAGAATAGCACTGCTGTTTCGGTCCTACTATTTATCCGTTTGCTATTTAACGATGTTGCAGTCCCAACAAAACAAAACGTGAGGACGCTTTCGGTCAGTGGCAGTTATTATATAAAGACCGCATGGCGGCACCATATATCTTTTTTTTATGTAACAAACGAGCAGACGGATTACCTGATGGTAAGCAATTAGCGCCGCCAATGGACATCCGCCCCAACAGAGGAGTTACGAGTGCGTTGCCGATCTTTTGGGGATTAGGGATTTCGATATTTAGGGATTGGGGAAGGGAAAGGATTGGGCCTGCGGTAACCACACTCACACGGCGAAACACAACGCTGTGGCTGCTTCACGCCGGTTTTTTTTGAGGCCGTGGTATCACTTCCATTCCACGACCCATTCGTGCCGAAACATGCCTCTCCCATACTTAAAATATTATAATGGCTATCTTGACGAAAAGGTACATACAACTTTACTAAACAAATCAGATAGCTAAATTAAAACAAGGTCTATATCGGCTTGTTTGGTGAAATAAAAACTTTTTAATACGTCCTTACTCAATGGGTATTTATTGCACACTGCCTTTACAGTTTCTTTTTAGATGAGTGGACTGTATGACCGTAATTTGAGTGTGGTGAATTATGACTGTGTGCGTGAAAGGTTGCTACTAACTTAATGTGAACTTAATTTATTTAGACAGTAACTCGTTGGCAACTTTACCGCTAGTTAACCAACCAATCAATGGGCTAAACGCCGAAACGTTTCGAACCAGGCAATCTAATTCAATTCAATGGAATTAGTCAGAATAAAAAATCACGGAATGGTTTGGTTCGACCGGATTGATCATTGATTGCCTCACAGAAAACTGGCATGACAACGCTTGCTCCAATCCCTTGTTGTTTTTTACTTGTTCCAAAGCTGCGAAAAGACAATTGTATTTTCTCTAGTGCTACAAGTTTTAATATGCTTAGCAAGAACTTGTCAAAATATAGGTAACACTTACCAAATCTTAATACTTATTAAAATCTTCGAGGGGGAATCCTAATCAGGTTACAATTGCATTCTGTGGTACCTACTATAGAAGAGCGGATACTGTTTTTGTACAACAAAAACAGAGTTATAGGGGATTTTTTATGCAATAGGGCGGCAAAGGAGAACTCTGATTACCTGATGGTAAGCAATCAGCGTTTTATCTATGGACAGCCGCAACACTAGATCTAAATTAAAAAAATTAACAGAGACTAACATAAAGCGTCTATTCGTCCTCTTTTTGTTGAAAAGTTCTGTGTCCAAAAGACTGATAACTGCCAATTTAAATGGGATTGGTTAACAATGTCTTTTGTTGAGTACAATGCTAATTTAAGGGTTAACTAGCCTTTCGGTCACCAAAGTAGTGCGAATTGGCTTTATGTTTACGCAATTGACACGCCACTATCAATACATTTTCACTATCACTAAATTGTCGCTATCAATACTCTGTCACTATCGCTAATTAGAACCCCTTTGAAATTAGGACAACGTTTTGGGATCTGATTTGCCTTGAATATTTGAATTAAAGTTGAACGCTTTTTATTAAGCTTATGAAGAACAAGTAAATAAAACTTAAAATAATCTTTCTAATTGATTGCTGATTCACTACAAGCCCGACTATGAGTTAGGCTAGGCGCTTATGAGTTCTCAAAAATTGTTGATTGGTTTTAGTTAGGGTGATTTTTCAATGGTTAGATATAAGTTATCTGGGGCATAGTTTTGATGCTGTCGCGTCAGAGTTTTTGTATAAGACAGTGAGAGCAACAATTTTATTCCTCAGATAACATTTATTTGACTATTGAAAAATTAGCCCTTAATGAAATGACGTTTTGGAATCTAAATTTAGTAGGACGAAGTCAGAAATTGTGTTGTACGGTGTGAGTGTTACTTTAAACAACTATGTGCACTTGTGCCGCGGTGATTACACTATATACTACACACACACTATATACTGTACATATATCTTAACTTATCGACTTTAAGTTTGAATACAAAAACAATATTAATTAATTAAAATAATATTATTTATTAATCAAAATTCATTTTCAAACATCATCAACAAACATGCTATATAAGCAATTACTTTTTCTTATACAACGTAGCGACCCGCCTGATGAAGGTTTCATTTAAAACCTGTGTGTGTGTGTGCGTGCCTGCGTGTGTGTGTGTGTGTGTGGTGTGCGTGCGCGTGCGTGTGTGTGTGTGATGTGCAAGATTAATGAGATGGATAATCAAGAAAGTCTTGTCAAGTTCAAAATGGTAAATGCATTAGGAAATTGTAGTTAAAGCAAAGGTAAGTTTAAGATGCTCAAGAAATAAATATATTTCAATAAAAATAAATATTTATTACAACATAAACGTGTGTTTTTCTGTAAGTTCCACATAAAGTCGTTAATTACAACCATCGAAAGTATCCATAACTAATTTTTATTCTAATCTTAGTCCTTCTAAACTAAGTTTAATGTTCAAACTTTGTACTAATATTGCAAATATACTTTAATTGTATTGTAAAGTAATATACTAACAAATAAATATTTATTAATTAACATTACAATTTATACATCTCAAAAATACTTTTCTAATACAAAACACTAACATAAAGCGTCTCTTTGTTAGGTTTTTTGTTGGGATTCACAATCCAATCTAATAATATCAATTCGGTCAATAAAGAAGTGCAAGTTGCCTTTACGTTAACGATATAAAGACGTTTATGGCATTTGGTACACTGTTGACCTGCTCCAAGTTAACCAACCAGAGAGCTAAACGCAATTAAGTCTCGACTGTACTCATAGTACACAAAAAAAAACTCCTACTCATCTTCCAAAGTGTTACCAACATTATTTACAAACATATTGTAAAGTGGACACCCTGTCATAACAACGGTCGTAAACTGAACTTTTTACAAACTACATTTTTTATGTGAGGGAAATATCATCAAATGACTTTACCCACCTATGATGAGGCGAGAGGGAGTGTCAAACTCTTACCGACTAAACCCCTCGTTTCTTCTCCTGTTTATTCGCAACACTGGCTGAACACCAGTCCTCTAGGATCCCGCCTGTGATGATCTATCGGCTCTTTGAGGCGCGCGAAAGGCAACGCGCCGTACGCTTGAATCTGGCTCAGGTACGACGGCGAGCTACAAATTAATTTAATCAAAACTTAATTCTATGTCAAATTGTAACTTGATACTATCACAAAATTATCACTTCCACTAAATTGTCACTATCACTAGTGTCACTATAAATAATGTCACTATCACTATATTGTCACTATCACCACATTGTCATTCACTGGCAGTTACAGTGTCGTAGACGTGGAGTGGCTACTGCCACTCTTATTAATCGTCACTGTCACTGCCGATCCCACTATCCTCGGATTCGCTAATGCGCTCTTCATGATTGAATTCGATGACGTCTTCAACTTCAAAAACTCTGAATCTTACATAAAAGGCAAAGAGAATTATAACCTCCTCCAAAATCAGAACAAAGTTCTGGTGATCGTTTTGAAAATTTGAATTCTGGTCCATTTTTCGAAATTAACAGTTCGAGTTTAATAAATAAAACTACTATTTGGCTACCGCAACTTATCTATACGTACTCCTTACACACTCCCGCTCGATGAGACGCTTCAAAGAAAATGACTCTCAGTCATGTATGAATGACAGCCGAGTGCATGAGCCTGGGTGACAAGGAGTAGGGATGTCGCTAGGAGATTGGGGCGTTCCCAGAGCCAGGTACGATCTCTCATTTATTCTTCTATCCCTTTCTTGCGGCGCGTGCCTCAAACAACAAAAATGCTGATTTCGTGCAATTAATATAGAAAAAAACTAGTTTTTTAAAATAGAAACGTACACCCTACTTCCTAACCACCGTGATTCAGATGCACATAATACGACCATCTGTAATTTTACAATGTAAAACCTAATATATGTTATGTAGTGAGCCCCATGCACAACGCAGACAGACAATTTCTGACTCCGTGCTTCTTACTACCAAGAATTTTCGATTCGAAAACATTGTGTAAACCGAAATAAATTTCAATATTTTCCTGACGCAGGAGTCGGAATTGAGCCGCGCCGGTCGCGCTTATGGCGAACAACACTATGTGATGCTCAAATTCTTGATCTGGGTCTGAGTAGGATGTGTATGTGAATTCTTATGTGTTTATAATTGTAACCAGGATTCAGTAGAAAATAATGGCGGGGGAGACGTCAAAAAATATTACTTGAAAAAAGGCATTTCACTATCAACTGACAAAACGTCTCTTCTCTCATGGAGAAGAAATCAGCATTAATCACCACGGTCGCCCAAGGCGGGTTGGCAATTTCAAATTTATAATTAGAAACTGTAAGTCCAGGTTTCCTCACAGTGTTTTCTTTCGCCGTTACGAGTACGTTATTAGTAGTGCCTTTACAATCTTAGAGAGTACATAAAATTCGAAAAATCACATTGGTACTTAGTACGTTTTAAGCCTGCGCTCTCATATTTTTTTCTCTGGATACCACCAAGGTACATTATTTAAAAAATAAGTGTTGTTTGCCAGTTTTGTAAACTAAAACGTCTTTTTGTTTCGCAGCCATTCTCTAATTTACGCTCTGAGATGTTTCATCAAAGGCAGGCTGCTAGGCTGTGGTGTAAAGGCTGCTTAGGGATAAGGGTGCCCATTGTTTTCTTAATTTTCATATTTTAAGACCTTTGTATTTTTATGAACAATAAGTAAGTACGTTATTGTTTTGTAGATTGTAAAACCTATATTTACGTCTCGAAATGTGGTATTAAACAGTAGTATTACACGTGGTATTAAAAATTGTAGGTAGCCAAAAGTCATGGCATCTATTTTGGCAAAAGAACATATCTATTTAATTTAGTCTGGCCACGAACTACATACTATATTGTATACTATGAGTATTATATATTGTATACTACCTTTGTCATCCCACACTTCTATAACAAGTGAAGAAGATCGTGTAGTTAAAATAATATTTATAGTGTCTGTGTCTGTATACGAATATTATTTTCGTAACGCGTTGGGCGCCTACTAATCTAACGTAGCCGGCTACGCAGACCAGCTTTTCGTAGCGTTGGTTTCGTAGGCAGCTTTACACCTAACTATGTATTGTGGTGAATAATACGTTTATAACTTTTCCTTTTATATTATTTTCAATAAATTGCAATTAACAACTTTGTTTTCGTAATTGTGTACTTGACTTAGTCTAATATGAAGACCATTACCAGGACTATCATTACCATGGTAGAAAAAAAATCTTTGTATTATTTAAGCTAATTTCAAAATTCGAAAAGTGCAGTTATTTTTTTCCGCAAATACTTAATTTAAGGGGAATATTGACACTCAATGTGAAGTAACGGAGCTCAGCTACAGAGGTTTCTCATGTCTGAATAGTATTTTTTCCTGCTTAGACTCTCATTTACTACAGACACCAATATCAATATACCTAGAGATGACACGATACTTCTAATAAGTAAGAATTTCGGATGCCTAACGCGCTGAACTGATAGCTGAAATGATATGTTGAGAAATTATTGCGTATTGAAATAATTTCTAACAAGGCCGAAAATATTGTTCGAAATTTGTTACGATAGAAATTGTTCGATTTTATATATTTACCATACAATGAAGCAAACGGACATAAATCTAAGTGGTATCCAACTATTATGCGTACAAAACGTCTATTATTATGGCGTCGCTAACTATCTACAGATATCTATTAAATATCTACTGCAAAATCACGAAATATCATATTGTTACAGAATAACGTTATTACATTTTGTGTTACATATGTTGTGCTTTATCAATCAGTAAATCGAAATTCCTTTTAAATTCTACATTCAAATAATTTTATAATTATTTGCAATATCATGCAATAAGTATTCATTATTTTTTGTATACCAAAGTTGTGATTAAGATAAGCCTTGTTCGTGCTAAATATTAGAACCTCATTATCAATTGCAGTATCCATTGTCCACTATTTCAATTTTATTGAATAGAAGAAATATTGCAGTTGCAGTGATTTGGGGTATAGGTACTAGTAATCTATATAGAATTAGCACTAAGGATTTATGTAAATTATTACGCCAAACTATATAAAATGTAAACTTAAGCAATTTAAGATAAGTATTATTTAGAAATGTGTTAGTCTATGCACGGACCGCTTATCTTAAGTTTTCCGTAATTTGTTAGCATACATTAACAATATTTGCAAAACCTCATTTTATGCAACTTCAAATTTAACAGATTCATGATAGTAAAAGTTTTATCCTTAGTGGTTTCTGGTTGCTATTTTAAGTTATAATCTTGTGTGTATGTTACTTAATATGACTTACTTAATACAACGTTACTTAATTGAAATAGAATATTGATCTCATGTGTATGTGTTCTTTGATTACTTTTTTCTTTGATTTATTGTAATCATTTAATTGAAGTAATAAGGTGAGTGTATAAGATAAATCTAATATTGAATGTTTTATTTAAGAACTAGCTACTCTGCGCGGTTTCACCCGCTGCTCAGCTCCATTTGATCGTAGCGTAGTGTTTTATAGCCTATAGCACTCAGGAACATTGTAGCTATCTACCAATGAAAGAATTTTGGCAATCCGACCAGCGGTTCCAAAGATTACCCCCCTACATACAAACTTACAAACATACAAATTTTACCTCTTTATAATAGTAGTATATGTAGATTGACTTGACAATAATTTAATTACTTTGTAGAAAAGGAAAACTTATTGCTTATTCAAATTTAAAAAATGGTATTTTATTTTACATGGCAATTATAACAGGCAACAATCGACATGATACAATGTTTTATACAGTACATTATTTTGTACTGTATAAGTAAAATACCTACCTACTTTTGCAACCTACATTAACCATTACATTAAACAGTTAAAAAAAAATGAAAACCTAGATTACAATAATTACTTAATGAGATGTCACTTTAGACAATGTCTTGTGAAGATCGCAGCACTGGAATCGGAAATAGTATGAGGTATTATTTTTAACAGGTACGTTAGGTAATAGATACGTGCTTAAGTAAACATTTGCTGAAACTGCGATGTCTACAGTATCGAACTGGATTGTAAATGTCTAATGATTGTTAGTGAAAGGAATTCAATAAATAAAAATTAATTAAGTAAACTAGAATTCGATCTTATTTATAGGTACTGACAAAATGCTAAACTAAGAATAAAACCTTAAAAGTTGTGCATAGGTATGTAATTTCCAAGTTATTATGAAGAGTTTGAAAAGTGAAATTGAACACATAAATAAGAATAACAAAAATTTTTCGTTTTCAAATATTTATTTGCTTTTTCTTACAAAATCAGTCATAGGTATGTTAAAAACTAAAATTAGGTAATGTTTGTACACATTTTCTTCATATAAATTGATTATAGGTTTATGGTTAATTAAATTTATTTATTTCAATTTCTTTACAGTCTTTAACAAACATAGGATTCATTATTATATAACCAATAGATTTGAAAATATTAATTACAATTTACAAGTAACAATTCTACAGAACCCACTATAACGAAAACTACTTATTACATCATAAATCATAATTTAAAGTAAAAAAAGGTGCACAACATTTTATAAAAAAAAATCAACTCAATTATCAGTTAATACTTAGTAACCTCATATTTACTTGTATGTAAGGTATAGTAAAAGAGCAATCTATAATGTCACAATCATAAAATAACACCTTGCATATATCATATCAAATAAATATCACGTAATATCAAATATCATAATCGCTACAAGCGCCGCTGTCAGTTTCACTAACTACATTATTTGGTTCATCTTCATTATTATTGTTATAATCAATTGAATCACCGTCCCTATAATAATATTCTGGACTGTTTGTGTTCACAAACCAGAGACTGGATTCTTCACTACTATCATTTTCATTGCCGTTTTCAATATATTGCTCTTCGATATTATAATCGTAATATTCATCATTATCAAAACTATCGACATCAAAATCAATGTCGTCCTGATCGTATTCTTCAAAGGTTGAAGGCCAAACGTTTTGTTGTTTATAAAATGTAATCAAATTGTCATCCAATATTTTAACGACTTTTGCTTTCACTTCATTTCCTTCGTGTATTTTTTCGACTACTACATAACTACCCCTCTCCAGCGATATTGTATTTGTTGAGGTTTTCGGCGCGTGTACTAAGTAACCTTCATAATCCGGAGTCATCACCTGAAAAGAAAATAAATAAATATAAATAAATCATTTTTTTAACTATCGTGAGACATACATTGAAGTTAGATACCAACTTACTCAACTTGAATGAAATGAGAAAAGCTCTACAAGTCGCGGCGCGCACGCTGCTCATGATTAAGAGCCCCGTTGCGACTTGAAACTAGTAGAGCTTTTGTCAGTTCATTCACGTAAGTAATTATTATATTTTCAATAAATATATTTTTATGACTATATAAAGTGGGATATAGGTACGAAATATATTTGGTGAAAGAAAGAAAAATAAATAGCTAAAATATTTGGTATAAAAAATTTGACACACTTCGAACACTAGAAGGTTGCTTACCGAATACAAGTTATTATGAACACTGCCCAAAACCTTCACAATGCTTTGATTTTCCTTTGGCAAGTCGTTGTCATGCCGCAGATGAGGTTCATTCATAAAATTTTCCGTGTTCCTAATGTTAGACATGATTGCGAGGTAATAACAGAATTTTTGGCAATAGTAGATCGAAATAAAAGTTCACACGACCGCACGGTATCAGGGTCCAAACAATTATGATGTGATGCCTGAGCTGAAGCCGAGCGCCTAAGCCTGTACGCTAAGAAGTGGGGGTGCTGTTGCAGAACGAATGACAAGGACGGGCGATAAAGATGCGTAGACATACTCTCTCTCTCTCCCTCACTCTCTCTCCTTCTGTCTTTTTATCCCGCCCCTGGGTCGTACGTAGCTCGAAATTAACACGCAAAATTATTGCATTACAATGTGTACAATAATGTTACATACTTATACATCGTACAAGTTAGAACTTGTAAAAATAATTTAATTCATCTACGCAAAATACAATATGAAAAGTTTTATATCGATAACTATGTTGGTATGTATTTTTATATAAAAGAGGTCGTATAAAATGCATAGAAAGATAATTATTTAAAGTTTGTAAGCTAACATCGATTTGAATAAATACCTGATTGTACCTAAACATTTTTACATAATTTTTAGACAACTTTTAGATAGAAAAACATGTCAAGATTGGTTACATTTCATTAATTATGTAAACCGATAGACTATACGGTAAACATAAAAAGTTTTTTTTTTATAATCTTTATTTATTTAGAGGCTTTTGCCTTACAAAGGTATGTCAGCCTCATCATACCCTAATATAACTACATATGTAACTTAACTAATTAACAATAACAAACATAATTATTATTGCGTAAGCGAGGGGGACATGCAGCAACCATTTCATAAGTAGATCAGTTCCGCTTCTTTTGAATTTGGTGAAGAAAATATCATAATAAAAGCCCCAATATCATACCTACTAATCTTTAGCTCTCGCATCACTATCTCTCTTTCTTTCTTGTTCTTCTCACAGTCCACCAGTAAATGTTGGACATCATCAACTCTATTACACACTTGGCAATTAAGTGAATCGACTTTTTTCATGAGGTATCCAAATATCCTGGATGGAAAATGACCAGAACGCAATCTATGTGCCATAACAACGTAAGCTTGTACGACCTTCAGCAAACCAAGGGATTCGGGGGAAATAAAGATACGAAAGTTGGTATGAAGTCGTCTACGAAACTAACGCTACGAAAAAACGGCGTAGTTGAGGAAAAAGTCGTGCAACGATATCGATATTAAAATGTTTATAGGTTGCGAACAATTTATACATGCATTTTATTTATTACTAGTTAAGCTGCGGCTTCAACCGCGTACTGTGTTTATAAAAAGCCGCCTATAGCAATAGAACATATTGGAAAAATACACAAAATTTGTTATTAATCGTCTCATTTGTATGGTTACATCTCCAATGGGTAAAAACTCTATTGATAAGTCTCCGCTATCCATTATCCATCCGTCCATTGATAGAATGGTACGGATACTTTTCATCACGTTACAATTAATACATTTCCCTTCACTGCGCTGCTCCGATTAATGGTAATGAAAAGTAGGTAGGTATACTATAATCTGCCCAGGAGTGTAAATAATAATTGTACCAAGTTTTGTTAAAATCCGTCCAGTAGTTTTTGTTCCTATACGGAACATACAGACAGACAGACAGACAAAAATTTTACTTAAAGTTGGATTAAAAAATTACAAAAATGTAGTACATTAATTTTGCAGTAGTTATTATAGAAAGTCTGGCCAAACAATGTTTTTTGGCAGATTTTGGGATTTATGAGAACTTTTGTTTTAAAGGGGAGAAAATGACACATGCGACATGGATTGTCAGACTCATACTTGCTAAGAAACCCGTTCCTTCTCCTGGCCCAGGACGGGGCCGCGATACATTATTGAGCTAGACTCGCAACCTAGGTTCTACGACGAAGAACAACCAACGAGAAAAGGCTAACCTTTTGACCGAAAATAAATTTACGAAAATACGAAAATGTGGACGTAGAATATTACAATTATTCTCCCGTTTAGAATCTACGAAAGTTTATAAACTTCCTAGTAAATTGATAAACTTACGGATCTTGTTATTTTCCGGTGACAAATAGATTCCAAAAACGGTTCAGATGTCTTCATGATTTTAAACTGGAAATGTACCTATAGAAACTCATGAAGCATTTAATGCCACGTGCAATAACAATTTTTAATACCACACTTCCAGCCATTAGTATTCGTTTTACAATTCTATAATATAATAAAGTAGGTACTCATTATTGTTCCTCAATATAGAAAGGACGTACCTAAAACTAAAAATTAAGTTAACAAAAGGAATACTAATCCCTATACAGCCAAAGGAAAGGTAGGTGTGACCTTCAACAGACTACAAAGGTTTTATTGCAAATAAAACAAAAAAGAGGTTATACTATAACTTCAATGCCGAAAGATAAGAGTTACTTATTTATAAAAACGTGGGCGTGCTACCATAATTCGTTATTTTCGCAGTCCTAAGAATTATTATTACTTACCAACTAATATTTAAGACAGACGGTAACGGTTTATTTAATAGTAGGTAGGTACCTACTTATCATTAAATTATCATTTTTTTTTTTTTGATAAATATTACTCACTGCTTTCTTAAATGAATGGAGATGCAAGTATAAATCACTGTTCCTTATACCCCATAATTAGAATCAATAAAGCCTCTTTTAATCCAGACCTACTTTTAAAACAATATTATTCAAGTACGCTATTGACCAAATGAAATGAAATACAATGGTAAAGTTAAGGGCATCCGTAAGAAATGTTTACAAAGGTACCCGCCACAAATGTATATCAATTTGCAGACCGGCGCGCAAGCACATCCTCACTGGCTGCGGCTTGATGAGACAAGCGATATTTTGAGCGATATTGATTGGACGTATCGACTTAGGACAGTATCGATTCCGATTTTTATATATAGGTATATATTGTTTGTGATAAATATTACTTAATTGATTTGCCTACATAGTTTTTTGTATAAGTAGTAGGTAGATATAAAAAGAGTGCCTTTTTGTAAGGATGGAAAATCCCGACGAATCGATTCCTCCTTGAATTAAGCTAGAATCTCGGACAGACTCTTAACGACGCCCGCAACAACGTAGGAGTTACGAGTGCGTTGCGGACCTTTTGGGGATTAGGGATTTGGAGATTTTGGGATTGGGGGAGGGGAAGGATTGCGCTTCCGCTAACCTTACTCACACGACGTGCCACAAAGCTGTGGTTGTTTCACGTTTTAAGTTTTTTTTGTGAGTGGAAAATTATCAAATGACTTCTCCCGCCCGGGGTTGGGCGGGAGGGAGTGTCAGACTCTTACTGACTAAAAACCCCCCTGTTCCTTCTCCTGCTCTGGGCCGAGGTCGCGGTGCCTCATTGCGCTTACCCCGCAATCCCGGCCTGATTCCTGTGGTATGACTCCGGTCGAGCCGACCCATTCGTGCCGAAGCATGGCTCTCCCACACTAACTAACTGAACTAGTGTTGCCCAAATGCAAGAACAAGACGAGACTTAGCCAATCTTGGTCTTGGTCTTGCGCCAATACACCTGGTCTTGGTCTTGGACTTGGTCTTGCGCTCCCAGTCTTGGTCTTGGTCTTGGTCTTGCAGCAAGAGTCTTGCAAGTCTTGCAATTACCTATTAGTCTATTACTGTTTATTAAAGTTTACTTTAAATCTTAGAAAAACGTATTAGAATTGGAGCACTGTGAGCTTGAATTAACAAAACCATAGTAAAGATCAAGCAGATTAATAAATAACTGAAGATTTGATAAGAAATTCGAAAAATCAACTGACCTATATGTCGTTTTCCATGGAAGTAACTATTTCTTAATAAACATTTATGATTTATAAGCTTACATTTGCTAAAACATGTAAAAAAACAAATTAATTACAATAACTTGACTGTATTTTAAAGAACAATACTTATCTGTCTAGAAAGAGATTCCTCAACTTATAAGAAATTTAATAAAAGAGTTTTACGATTTATCATTTATTTGAATAAAAAAATAAAATAAAACACCAATCAACAGCTTTATCATTAGGTTATGATACGTTATATCAATTTTTTTACCAATAATTAATACAAAGTAACCATCTGGCTGACTCATCACTTAACCTATTTCTATGTTTTCTAATTACTAATGATGCTTTAGAAAATAACCTCTCAGCAGTTTCAAATATATTTTAAAGTGGCTACAATATTTATTAAACGGGTGATATTTGAACACTTTTTTGCTATTTTTTCTCGTAAAAACTTAAGAAATATTATGACTAAATGTACAATAATAGTATCTAAATAATTAGTTTAAAACCATATAAGTAATCAATATTATAATATATACTCACTAGAATGAATTAATATGACATCTACTACCTATCCTTACCATTTAATCCTAATCATAATACTACTTGCGTGATCAGTATAATGTATTCATTTTCATTCTAAACACTCTGAAAATTATTTATTCTTTGGAACACCTGTATGTACTCTTAAAATTCGAAATTATTTTGCATGAGTATACCTACGACCTATGGCGGCAATCAAATAGTGTAAAATGTTATGATTTCGGCGTGGCGGCAACGATTGTTTAAGATTTCAAAAGACGCCGCCGGCGCGTGTATCGTTACCATGTACTTCCGAAAAGCGGCAAATTTCTTTGAGAAGTAAGTACAAAACCTTTGATGCCGCATTATCAAAGTGCCGATGGTTAAAACATTACTATGCATGCACTCAGTTTGATTTTAATAGATATTTTTTAATTCGCTATGTTTATGGTATTAGTCGTAAATTCGTAATGCGCATAGGTCCAGTTTTTCATATTCTTTGATACAGTTTTTTGCGTGTCATAGAATTCCTAAGCTAAGGGTACGCTTACGCACATTCTACCTATACACCGAACTGTTACACCTAACTACTTGTGAAATAACGCTAAGTCCTAGCTGCAAGACGCAAGAGTCTTGCAGGCTATGTCTTGTTCTTGCACAAGTCTTGCACGGTCAGTCTTGGTCTTGGTCTTGCTAAAAATACGCGGTCTTGTTC